TCATCTCAGTCAGTCGACCCGTGGCACCTGGGTCTGCCCCGTGACCTCCTGCCCGCGGGCGTTCGACACTTCACGTGTTCTCAAGGTGCACATGGCCTAGCACAAGCGTCGTGGTGACGTCACCACCACTTAGTGGCGAATGGCGGTTGTTGTATGTGTATGTGTGTATGTATGTGTGTATGTGCGTGTATGTGTGTGAGGTGCTCGCTAACAGCACTTGCCCCTACAGTCTGTTAAGGCTATACGGGGGATCTTTGTCTTTGTATGTGTGTATGTGGGGAGCGGTAGTGTAGCGGTTAGCGCGCTGTGCTATGAACCTGGCGACCCGGGTTCGATTCCCGCTCACGGCCAACACCAGTGACGATTATCTGAACCGGCCCCGGGCCTCCCCTAGGTCGACTCAGCCTCAAATGAGTACCTGGTGCGGTGTGTAAATATCTCCATTAGGGAGACAAAGGCGGTCGGGCGTGGTGCTGGCCACCCACCCCCTCGTGTACCGTTGTGGCCTTCATGGGTGCTCGCTAACACCACTTGCCCCTACAGTCTGTTAAGGCTATACCGGGGATCTTTGTTTTTATGTGTGTATGTATATGTGTGTATGTGTGTGTATCCGCACGCACGCATGCACGAGAATGCGGCTTTTGTGTGAAATTGTTCAGCCGCAGGCCTTATAGGGGGCGACAGGAGCGGTTCAACCCCGGTGACCACTCGGGCACCAACATAAATCACGAGGCCCCCCACGGGACTCACCTTTGCCCTTGACAAATGGGGGAGAAGCGGTCCGCGCGGCACCTGGCCTGGACCGGCAATCCTCACCCATCCACAGCGTCTCTCCGGAACCAAGAAACCCTCAACATGTTAGACACTCACGCGGCACTAAACCACGTGGCCCTCACTCATTCCCTGAGTGGATCGGTGCTGCTATGACCTTCACTGTGGTGGTTGAACACAGTGTGACAGATGGCATGACACGGTCAGCGTGTGTGTGTGTGCGTGCCGTATGTTGAACTTCCTTCGCACCGTACGTAGCCAAACGCGACAATCGGAGGTGCAGTGTCTGGTAGACCAAATCCTCAACACGGGTGGAGGAATGAATGAATCATGTGCAGGGTAGCCACGGCGGTGGTAGCGACGGAAGAGCGATGAGGAGGCGACTGGCCGCCGATGAGCGATCGAGTGACCGGAGTGCATCAGCGAGCGCTGGATCATCGGTCACAACTGGCTGCGATTAGGAGCGGGGTGCTTCCACCCCAGGTTGCACAGCAGCCCCGCAACAGCCCCGGGTTCAACTCGTGTGTGGGGTGCGTGTGGGGTGCGTACTCTGGGCTCTGGGCAGACCAAACACGAACACGTGGGCGCAGGCAACTCTCTCTCTCTGTGTGTGTGTCTGCCTGCCGATAAGAACTTACAATGCAGGAATTCCGCTGTGGCTTTTCTGCCCTATCGCAAATCATATCATTACCGGCGCATATTTTTTTTCTAGTGTTGTTTTTTTTGTTAAATCAAAGCGTCTTTGTTGAAAACCAGATTTTTAGCATTTTACATTTCACCGCTGCACTTGCTGACGCGTCTCTGCTGACAGTGAGTCGTGTCTACGTGCGCGTGTCACAACGCATCTGGACTTAGCCGCCGTGAATGTGGAGTCGCCACGGCGGGGTGGGCTCGACACGACGCTCCACTCGGGCTCAGTTGAACAAGGGGGGGGGGGGGGTAGGTGGGGCGCCGCATCTCTGCCGCTCACGAGTAAAGCGACGGCAATTCCACAGTCACATGGCAGAGACCGGTCTGTCCACAACACCACCACTGTTTGGCTGGAATTATGGGTTGAGCCGACACTTAAACGGAAGTGACAACAATCCTCCTTCCCATACGACCCTTCGCATAGGAAATACAAATCTCTCTTTACACAGGACATCAGCAACGTGGCCTTCTGTGAGTGCACAATTTCAGCAGCATTCGTTCACAGCACAAGGGGAAACAATTTCTAGACCTGATTCGACATTCAGTGTCACATCAGCAGCAGAGTCAGGCTCGCTTAACACATTCCTGCGGAGGGAGCTGGTAGGAACGTTGGGTTGCTCGGTCAATGGCCAGTAGGTTAAACGTTGAGTTTTATAAGGGCACCACGGGGTGACCAGCCCCTCCCCACGCAGTTCCACACCCCCCACCCAGCCCCTCCCCACCCTCCCCTCTCCACCCAGCCCAACCCCTCCCATTTTTGGATGCACGACGGACGGACACAATAATTCCCTGTGGGCTGGTGGTGTAATAGCCAGGAGGTTCCTACCAGTACCAATGGTGGTGGATTGCCCAGATGTCTCTAGGCAAGGGCCCTCCACTCTACTACACATGGGTCCCAGTTTGACACGCAACTATGCAACGCACAACACAGAACTAATCATGAACGCGGCTCGGGATGACACAAGTAATACAATAAATAAGTGGACAAAGCGCCTCCTTACCCACACCTGCCCTTCCAACATAAGTAATGCATTTTTCAAAAAAATTATAGTGTAAGTAATAATAGGGTTTTTTTTTCTACCCTTTTTTCTGGCAACAAAACTGAAACCTTTTTTTAACGAGGAAATCATGTCCACATTAACCGCAATACCTGCAGTCAGAATGCAAACAAAAAAAACACACTCTGATAATGTATGCATTGTCCTTGAAATTGATTGCTCCAACAGATGACAAAACAAAAACCGAAATGATGAACGAAGCAAAGTGTCGACTCCACCGAGCATCTTCATGTTTCCTCTGATCGAAAACAAAGAGAGAGAGAGGGCTGCTGTGTCGAGGGACCAATGCGACCTCTGGTGACGCGCGAGGGGACTGCGGGGGTTTAGCTCGCGGGATTAAAGTCTCTGCAATCGCCCCCCCCCCCCCCGGAACGACTGCGCCCCGCTGCCGTAACTTTCTTAATAACAACAACAACAAAAACACATCCCATGAATAAACATTACAATAATTTACATTTTGTAAAATAGGCGCATTTTTCATCCGTAGATAACCAATGCGACCGCTGTTCATGTAAGACCAAGAAATAAACAGAACCTACCAGGGTAAGCGGCAGTGCCGGATTATTTATCCTAGTAGCTGCTGCTACACATGTGTAGCTACGACACGTGTAGCAGCTGCTACATGTGTAGCAGCTTTTGCTACTACGATAATGTGTAGTAGCTACTACACATGTGTCAAGGGGGCCGTCCATAAATGACGTGTAGTACTACACATGTGTAGTAGCTGTGGGCCCCGCACTTTCAAGGGCCCCGCGCTAAATGCTTTCAAGCCATCAATTCCGGTTCAGCGATTCTGCACTTGCTCTATTACTATAGTACTATACCGCCTTCAACTTTTATGAACGACTGGGTGTTTTAGCTTAGCGATTCGTCGTATTATCTGTCTGTATAGCAAATGAAAAAATCCAATTGCTTTACAATGCAAGTAAAAAAAATTGTGTTTTAATAAGTGTTTATTTATTTATTTAAAACCCCTTTATAACATTCTACAGGACCGGCACGAGCTGAATCCGGCACTGGTTAGCGGCTAGGACTGTGGGGAGTAAGAGGCCGATTCCAAAACCTTTGCAAGCTGCGCTGGCAAAATCCCGATCACCCCAGGAAAGAGAGACTTCAACTCGGAACACTGAGCGTGGCGATCCCAAGGTCTCAGAATGACTATGGGCTCAGTCACTGCAAATGTTGTGGGGTCAACTACCCACTGAGGATCTCATAGTTCACTCGGTACTTGACCGGTAAGCCAGCGCAGAGACAAGGGGGCCGTCCATAAATGACGTCACGCGATTTTGGACGATTTTTGACGCCAAAAAACAAATTTCCATTTTGAAAATAAAACATGCTTCAAATTGCTTAAAACTATTGTCATTCTAGTGCGTATTTAATGTGGCGCTGCAGTCCGATGTTGTAGGAGTCTTGCATTTCTCAAACCACCCCCCCTCGTCACACATCGTCACAAATATATGACCCCTCCCCCCCTTAGGTGCGTGACGTCATTTATGGACGCCCCCTGTGGCGCGTAGCAACCCTTGCAGCTGCGTTCTGAACGAGCTGGAGTCGAACCCAGCGACCTCACCCAGAAACCCCGGTCAGTAATCAAGTCGAGAGAACGCAAAAGCTCCGTGTTCCCACATTAATATATTTACGTGTTTTATCTATCGGCTTATGCGCGTGATCTATTAAACGTATCACCCAGAATGCTCCGCGACTGCGAGTAACGATTTGCTACGTGCCACTCCCATTGGTCACGCTCCACGCTGACGTCACAGGAGAGAGCCGCTCGGGTTGTAGCTCGTCACCAATAAATTAAAAGAATGTTACGCGCATCAGACACGTGTCGCACTGAAACGCGACAATGCTAAACCCTCACGGCCGGGTCAAAGTGTCTTCCTGCTGTCAAATAACAATGGGGCTCTAGGTGCAAGCTCCACATTCTGCCAGCGAGAACCATATCACAAGGTCTCTGAGTAACACTTTTTTGACCCAAGGCAGGGAAGATAGTGTCAGGTGACCCCACTGGGATTTGTGCTCACCAACTTCAGATTGGGAGTCAAGTGCTCTGACCAGAGTAACCATCTGGGCCGGTGGCAAGATGTTAACTACCTCGCCTGGTATGCAGGGGGTCGTGGATTAGATTCCGACCCTGACACTTACTGTATATTTGGAGTTTCCGAGTCCGTCTTCCCGTGGTCGCGTGGATTTTTCTCCGGGTCCTCCGGTTTTCCTCTCCACATTTAGAGTGAACATCACTCGTTTAGAGTTTTTGGCTGGTAAGCCACTTCGTTGAGCTATAATTTGTGGCCAGGTCGATTCCGAAAAAAAGAGTTCTGTAGCTCAGAGGGCCTTACCTTGTAAGATGAATGAATGAACGGCCCGAACTGTACAATTGCTTAAGACGCATTTGCGTCACATTTGCTCATTCTCCTGCACCGCTCCAAGTCGGAATTCCTTCCCAACGCCCCTTTGCTCAGAAGCTGATAAATAAATCAGTGTGCGCTCCCTCATCAAACACGCTGTCGCATCCTTCTGCCGTCTGCTGATTTTGTGTCACTTTTAGGGTCCCTTTAAATTTCTTCCGTCGCTTTCCCCCAGCATCAGCGCGACGTTTAAACCGCTTCAGACGCCACCGCCGGTCCACCCGCTATAAGTAACGCGCGCCCGTTATCCTCGCCAGCGAGTGTCGTGGGTGGCGACGCCACGCTTGGCACGCTCCCTCCGCAGGTGTACTCTGTTTTTTTATGTTGTTGCTCTTTGTCGTTTTTTTTGTGACCCAGGTCTCCTCTTGCAAATGAGACTCTTTCCCGGACTCTTTCATGGGCTAAAGAAAATTAAACTTGAACCCTGCAATGTTACAGGCCAGCTACGGTAAAACAAAAGCATCGCAGCTTCCGTTTATCCGCCTGTAACTGGGTCTGGATTACCAATTCACATTTAAATCAGTTCAGCAGAAGCCACCTGCGCCGACAATTGTCAATCCGAGCAGAGGTTGCGCACTTCATTTATTGACGCACTGCCTTCACACGACGGACACTTTTGCTTCCCGCGTGCGACTGCGCGGCGTGTTAAACACCGTTAGAACGTTTCAGGCAATCACCAACGTGGGGAACGTCGAGTTAATCGCGGAAGTTTAAATGCAACGCCCCGACAACGGGGAAAGGAGCCGCGTCCATCGTCCGCGCACTGCCGCTGTGCGTCTGAGGTTTGCAGTTCCCTCTGGACCGAGACGGCGACAAAAGACGTTAAATGTCTGGGCCTGCTTCCTCGTGGACCTGCTTGGGTAGCCTGGGTTGATTGGGTGGCGAGGGTCGAATGGGTGGCATGGGTTGATTGGCTGGCCTGGGTTGATTGGGTGGCATGGGTTGATTGGGTGGCATGGGTTGATTGGCTGGCCTGGGTTGATTGGGTGGCATGGGTTGATTGGGTGGCATGGGTTGATTGGCTGGCCTGGGTTGATTGGGTGGCATGGGTTGATTGGGTGGCATGGGTTGATTGGCTGGCCTGGGTTGATTGGGTGACATGGGTTGATTGGCTGGCCTGGGTTGATTGGCTGGCATGGGTTGATTGGCTGGCCTGTGTTGATTGGGTGGCATGGGTTGATTGGCTGACCTGGGTTGATTGGCTGGCATGGGTTGATTGGGTGGCAAGGATTGATTGGCTGTCCAGGGTTGATTGGGTGATATGGGTTGATTGGCTGGCCTGGGTTGATTGGCTGGCATGGGTTGATTGGCTGGCCTGGGTTAATTGGATGTCAAGGATTGATTGGCTGGCATGGGTTGATTGGCTGGCCTGGGTTGATTGGATGGCAAGGATTGATTGGTTGGCCTGGGTTGATTGGGTGACACAGTTTTACCCCAGGGAAGATGAACCTGCGCCGTGCTGCTGGCTGCGGAGAGAGAAAGATTAACTCGGCAAGGTTTCAATATGTTTTCGGATTAAAAAAGAAAAGACTCGAAACGCACACACGGAGCACTCTGCAGCTGTAATGCGGCTCTTGAAACGAAACGGACGTGTGTGTGCGTGTGTGTGCACGGATAGCGACAAGAGTCTCATCCGCAGCTCTGCTGCGTAGCTAGGATGGCACCTTACCCTCGTGCGTTGGCGACGACGTATTCTGAGTTGGGCCTCCAGCGGGGCCGCCTTGGCGAGGTGTCTCACCCACGCCGTGGTTGCTACTCTGCGTTGCGTTGGCGGTCTCTGTGAGTGAAAGACGCCACGGCCGCTTTATCCGTTGTGAGAGAAGGCCACACTCTTTGGTTCTTTCGGTAAAGTCACGTGACGATAAAACAAAATAAATTGAATCACGACGTTTCGGGCGCAACGCAAGCGTCCGTCATCAGGTGGGACAGCCACAGCAGGCAACAACTGCTGAAGTGGGCAAAAGGACTGCCGTAACACAAGGCAGATCTGAAATACGGCAGAACTAACTCCTCCGCCGTGGTTGACCACTGCTATAACGCTGTGGGCTCTCGTGATATTGTTTTTTTTCCGAGACCAAGTCACTCTGCAAGCCGTCGGGCTACTATCAAAGGTTTGTTCATGAAGCCATCCAGATATATAAACATAGACGTAACTTCAACCGAGAAGATGGGTGCACATTGAGCAATCATTGGAAGGATGTTATTAACCAGGTAAAACCTTAAATGCTTTATGGTTGCTGCCTTCATATCCGCATCTCCTTTTGCTTTGCCTCAGCTCCCCCACTCCCAGCCCCGCTCTCTTCCCCTCCCCACCCCCCATCAATTCCCTTTAATCCCTTCCAGCTGCTCTTCACTCGGCAGCTCTCCACTCCCCCCTCCCCTCTCTGTCTCTCCTCCCTGGCCCCTCCCCCCCTCTCTTGCCTATATAGCCTCGTGTTACGGCAGTCCTTTTGCCCACTTCAGCAGTTGTTGCCTGCTGTGGTTGTCCCACCTGATGACGGACGCTTGTGTTGCGCCCGAAACGTCGTGATTTAATTTACTTTGTGTTCTACCCACGTGACTTTACCGAAAGAACCAAAGACTATATGAATGCCTGCAGTCATGAAAACTTCAAATCCAGAAGGCCACAGTTACACTCCTAGATCAATATTACCGGTCAGAGTCACAAGCGAAAGCATCTCCCACGCAACACCAGCGCGAAGCTATGCTCGTCACTTTACAGCTCTAGGCCAACTGTGGAAATTCCACATTCCTATGGTGGGGGCCGTGGAATCCACCTCCCGACTCAAAGTAAGACCTCCATATACTTCCCACAAATGGTGACTCATTTTGTTGACGCCAGTGTGATGATGATGGGCCGAATTGAACCTCTGGCTGCTATTTAAACTTACACCTTTGCTCATGAGTTATTTTCACCTCAAATCTGGTTGTTCTGCTGAGAAACGGTCCCCACGGATGACGACGTGCAACACCTGGTGCCAAAGGCCAGTGCCGACTCAGCACTGTTTGTTTAATATGCCTGGCACTGCCGATGGGACCATGAAGGTTGAAGCCAGTTTAACACCTAGTAGGAGACTCTCGCCACCAATATCCACCACGATAGAAGTTTTTTGGGTTAGATCGCGTAAATATAAACGTGTCGTGAAACCCGCCACCACCCGCCACAGCCAATTAGTAAGGTTTGTCACGTAAACAGAACGTGCCAATTCGTTACTAGTACAGCACACCGGTTGTGTTTGAGAGCAAATCCACAACATTAACAATCTGAGTACCACACCATTTGCAATCTGTACTCATTTATATTTACGCGATCTAACCCACAACATTGGTCCCAAAGCCCACAGGAATTATGTTTTACTTTGACTTTTGGACAGACGGACAGACGGACGTGGGCTCATTGATTTAACTTCTGCTTGTGGGCTCATTGATTTAACTTCTGCTTGCGAGTGGCGTGCGCAGCCAAAACACCACCCAGTTTGAGATGGACGCGGTCTTGCTGCGGCTTACGCCCTTGCCTGGCATCTAACCCAACTCCATCAACCCGCGTCTGCTGGTAAAGCCCTCGGTCAAACTCCACTCAATAAAAACCCCTTCTCCTCTGCCATCCCTACAGTCTAGAACCCTCTTCCCCCGGTCTCCCGCACTGCCGACTTCACCGTTAGGTCCAGGCTCAAGAGCTTCCCCTTCTCTTCCGTCTTAAAGCGGACGCGGATTCTCTCGTCACAAGCACGCACGCACCTCGCTCCTCTGCACCATCCCCGTGCGTGTGCGTGCGTGTGCGTGCGTGCGCCCCGTGAGGTCCGAGGCCCACGCGCATTTTGAAAGGTGGAGGATTTAACGGCGGTTTCTCACGCTCGCAGCGCGGAGCTGTCGATGACCATTTCTTCGTGGTTGAATCACAGGTCAGCCTGCTGGCTCCGCGCAAGGTGAAGCTGGAGAAGAAGCGAAAGAAATCGTCGGGCGATGCTGCTGCTGCTGCTGCGTCGGCAGCGGTACACGAGCATGGACAACGAATCGAGGGCTCAATCCGCGCGTTCGCTCTTCCTCTTCTCTCGCGCCCCCTTCACCGGAACCAACTTCCCCTCCACATTAAGCAGCCACCTTCGCTCACTCGTTTCCACTTTCCCACTCAGAACTCACACTTATTGTTCCCAACTCACCCCACCTTCCCCCCCCCTTAATCTCCACCTCATAACCACCACCACCGTCACTGTTCCTGCTTCATATTCTCATGGCGCGGCTACCACTCGTTAACCCCATTCATCCAATCCATTCATCATCATCTACTGTCATAAATTTCGCTTTCACCAAATTCACGCGTCACAGATTCGCCACCATTGCTTCCTCCCGTCTATTTCATTCGCCTCTTCTCCTCCATTACATTCACGCGCATTGTACCATTGCTAATTCTTTGTAAAGCGCCTCGGTTAAGGCACTCTATAAATTACGTTAAGATAAGAGATGTTGAACACGTGGGCTTTCGCGACCAATAGTATCCATTGTACAGGTTGTTTTTGTGTGAGATCGCGTAAATATATAAATGTGTCGTTAAACCCGCCACCACCCGACACAGCCAATTAGTAAGGTTTGTCACGTAAACAAAACGCCCAAATCCGTTACTAGTACAGCACACCGGTGTGTTGGAGAGTAACCCCACTACAACATTCACAATTCGTTTGCTCTCCAACACACCGGTGTGCTGCACTAGTAACGAATTGGCACGTTCTGTTTGCGTGACAAACCCTTACCGATTGGCTGTGTCGGGCGTTCTGGGGGCTTAACGACGCATCACTCACTCACTGTTTTTTGACACGAGAACTCGATGGAGCTCCCGACAGTGATGTTTCCGGTCCAGAACCCGTGCTCAACTTCCCCGGGCGCATAACACAGCTCGGCTGGTGGGTCAAAGGTGCACGGAAGAGGAAAGCGGTGGCTCAATCTCGATTTGAAGCTTTCGCGACCGCACGGAATCCACACTCTGTAGTTCTTTCGGTAAAGTCACCGCGTAGGTAGAACAATAACAGATCACGACGTTTCGATCGCAGCACAAGCAAATCGTCATCAGGTGGAACAACCACGGCGAGAAGAAACTGCTGAAGTAGGCGAGAGATCTGCCGTGGCACGAGGTTTTATAGTAGGCCTCGGTAGTGGGGGGTGGGGGAGAGAGAAGTCGGGGGGATTGAGGCGGGGCAGAAAGTGGACCCCGCAGCAGCACCCGGGTAACGGGAGTAAGAAAAAAAAACAGTGCTCGTTTAAGAACAAGAGGAGTGCGTATACGGGGAAGGAATAATCCAGTAGGTGGCGAGTGAGCTGTAGCGATGCATGCTTTGGTAATTACATTGAGAGACAGAAAGAGGAGCGCGTGGATGAGATTGGTACCAACAAGTGACGGCGTACTTGGCCATCCATCCAACGAAGATAATACCTGCCTACTATCTTTTTACTGTCACCGAGAGCAAGCGAGGATCTTTAGCTTTTTACTGACTGCTCTGAAATACGCCGCAAAACAATCGTGAGCCATCCAATGGCGGAGCCAGGATTTTCAGGGTAGGGGCGGCAGCCCCTCCAGCAATGAAAAATGATAGAGGAGTTGTTAGTATGTAAGGAGTTGGTGGGAAGTAAGGAGTTGTTAGTAAGTAAGGAGTTGTTAGTAAGGAGTTGTTAGTAAGTAAGGAGTTGTTAGTAAGGAGTTGTTAGTAAGTAGGGAGTTGTTAGTAAGGAGTTGTTAGTAAGGAGTTGTAGTAAGTAGGGAGTTGTTAGTAAGGAGTTGTTAGTAAGTAAGGACTTGTTAGTAAGGAGTTGTTAGTAAGTAAGGAGTTGTCCCTTGCTTTTTATTCGACGCGTGTGTGGCAATGGAGTAGCCATGGATCGAGGGTCGAATTCGAACCGCGCTGTGTGATCCGCATCGCGCTCGCTGAAGGTGTTGATGCCTTCAGGGAAGTCGTGTACTCTGTATACGCAACTGCGCACAATTCTGAGTCACTTATAACTTCTTTGCCATTACTTATTGACAATTATGGACTCAGACTATTGTATTATCATCAATTTATAGAGTCCCTGGAACGTAATAATATGCTACACAGTGGCAGTGGGGGGTCGCAAAATGCCGATTTATTACTAATAAACCCCAATGATCCGATCGAAATTAGGGATTTCGATCGGATCATTGGGGGGGCACGTGCCACCCCCCCCCACCCCCCGCCCCCCCTACTGGCTTCGCCAGTGGAGTCATCGTTGTTGTGGCCAATATAAGCAGCAGCATTAAGGAACCAGACCTGAATGTTGAAAGCGGTCCGGCATTCGATTGTGTTGAAGCAATGCTGCTGAAGTTACGCACACCCACAAGGCCGGGTGGCTGGTGGCCTCTGATAACAAAAACACTTTTGCCCTATGTCGAGGTGAGGATACAGGGAAAGGGAGCGCCTCGTCCACTTTTTAGTTTTTTAAAATATACCGCGGAGGGCGGGTGGGGTCGCGTGGTGCTCGGCGACGCCAGCCGGTGGCACGCCGTCGGTGCAATCTGCCCTCGGCGTTTGAGGGAATCTGAACACCGATGGACTCGGCAAGTTCGCGTACGTTCCCGTCGACCGAAATGCCGACACCGTCGTTTCCTCCGCGCGACAGTCAAGCAGCCCGCCGTCGCCGCCGCCGTTTTTTCTCGCGCCCCGTTGCGTCGCAAGCAACCAGCGAGGCGGCGGCATCGCGTCACGCTTGTCCGCGCTGGGCGCGAGGTGACGCACGGGAGCGTACTCACGTGTGCACCCGAGGAAACTGTCCACGACCCACCCGGCTGCGCCGCTGCCGTCCTTTTTACAGAACATGTAGTATCCGTGGGCGAGGCTCTTGAAGCGATCGTCGCAGTCGACATAGACGTACTCATGGACGTCGTATCGGCGGCCGCGGACATGCCCGGTGGGAATCTTCACCTTCGCGTGAGGTTGGTCAGGAGGCGTGCCGCACGTGGATGCTGACGGGGAGGAAAAAAAGTTGCAAGAAACGAAAATTGCGAAACGGGTGGGTTTTAATTTTTCCCGCACCTCCGATGAGCACAGTTGGCTACGTACGGTGTGAAAGGAGTTCAACGTGCGTACGTTCAATTGCCACCCTAGACACAGAATCAGAATCTTTATTTAGGCTGCAGGAAGAATTCGAGGAGCTATGAAGCACTTTTTCACAGACGTCCAGTAGGGGCACGGGGTCAGAAAGTTACAACAACAAACGCAAAATACAATAACCGATAGCAGGGCAAATTATAGGGAAGCTAAGCGAGGCACTAAATATAAAGTATGCAAGTACAAATTGCATGAAACACTCCTTGCAAAAACTAGAGACGTGCCATCTAAAAGAGACTTTACAAGTCAAATGTTTTAGTAAATAAAATAAAAAAATGAATGCTGGCTATTTGCATATGGAATTAATCCAGATAAGACATTCATCAAAATGAATGCGCATATAATATATACAGCTAGTTGTGAGGTATGTGAAGTCTAAATACGTTATAAAAAGGTTATAGAGATGAGATTCTGTACAAAATATAGTTGAGTCTGCTCATAACTGAAACATTCTAGAACAATAGACCCTCCAAAAGAGGGGAATACTGCATGTGTGTACGTATTCATAATAAAGGTTTTTCAGTTTTTCAAACATTGTAAATGTTAAATTTTGATTTAAAGCTTGCGTGACTGCAGTAATTCATATTCTTAGCTCTTTCGGTAAAGTCACGTTGAAGGGAAACAATGAAATAATAAAATATATATATAAAACAGTTAAAATTCTCACGACGTTTCGACCATAACACAAACGGTTGTCATCAGGTGTGTCGGTTTGCAAACCGACACACCTGATGCAAACCGACACACCTGATGACGACCGTTTGTGTTATGGTCGAAACGTCGTGAGAATTTTTATTGTTTTATATATTTTTTATTATTTTATTGTTTCCCTTCAACGTGACTTTACCGAAAGAGCTAAGAATATGAATATTGTAAATGTTGTGGATTCACTCTTCAACACACCGGTGGGCTAAAGTAGTGAACTATTTTGTCTTTTGTCAACGTGACACTTTTTTGCTGATTGGTCGTGTCGGGTGGTGGAGGGTTACGACACATTTATAAGTAACGCGATCTAACCCAAAAACCTTTATTATGAATAATATTGTTCGCGAAAGCCTAACGTGTTAAACTGTACGTACGTATATTGAACTTCTTTCGCACTGATTGGCCTGCACCAAAGATAGCCTTACCTATGGCCTGGTGCCACCAGCGTCAAGTCAGGCCGGAGAACGCCAAAAGGCGAAAATTACCAGAGAATGTTTGTTTGCATGATCACCACAAGCACTGTGTGCGATTAATTCAGACATGATTCCTTGCAAAAAGGTTTCTATTTGGCGTTCGAACATTTTAATACTTGTTCTATTGCCAGAAATGGTAAAAGCTATCTTTATTTTGCCATACCTTGATACTGGCAAACAAAACAGGTCCCATGATATTCTTTCGCACCGTACATAGCCAACCGTACCTGATCCATGACCTTTACATCAGATTGGTTGTCCCTGTGAGGTCATGACACAAATTTAAGAAGCCAGGTCAGGTTACATTCTGACTTCCTGGATCTTCTCCTAAATACAACCTTTGCATAGTTTTGAGTGAACCATCACATCTCGTTGCTACATCTGGTCATGGGAATTGTTCGTCAACTTACAATAATGAACAACAATAGTTGTCCCTTTAAACGCCTGCGTGCATGACTAATTAGTTTGGCTATGCGCCGGGTGGTGGAAGGTCTCACGACGTCGATTTTTGCCAGGTCACTATGTGGCGTTACCGAAGAAAAGAATCAAAAGTGAATCATTGATATTGAAGAGTTTGATCAATTACACCTCTGTGCCAATAAAAAGTAAAAAAAAACATTCACATAGATGACAATGAAGCTTCCGATATTCGGAAGCCACTGGAGCTACACACTTTTAAGCCATCTAGATTGAAAATTAATTTCTTTAAAACTGCTTTTTGCGCTTAGTGTGTTGTCCTTCCCCTGCGCCTCCAATTATATTATCACGAACGATGCAAAAGAAGTTCAACATACACACATTACGACATACGTGCAAACTGCAGCCAGAATGTGCGTCATGAATTAAGAGGGCCTATGTTTGCCTGCCGAAACGTCCCTTTCTTCACCTACGAGCGTGTAAGACGTGAACTTTGTGCCAGAGTGGACGTCCTTCGCCAATCCATCCACCGCATCACTTACGGTTGCACCGCTTGTGGTCCGTGTCCCAAGCCGTCAGGTCACCCTTTCTTCTGCAGTACAAGTCAAACCCATCTGACGGAGACTTGTAGTCCTCGTCGCAGTCAAAGTAGACTGTCTGGTTTTCCAAGTACTGCTGTTTGTGGGCATACGCTGAAGAAAGCTTCGCGTGAGGCTGTGGAGGTGGCTTGCCGCAGAACGCTGAAGAGACGGAGAAACGCAGCCGTGGGATCACTTCCCATGCCCCCGATACGAAACCAAACGTACTGAAGGACAGTTAACCTGGTCGTCGTACGTGAGTTCGTGGTGCTTGGGGCTAATAGGAACGGGGGTTATTTGAAGTGAACTGAAGCTCTTGTAAAGGAGACAAGAGCGGGTACTCACGTTTACATGCGGGGGGCGATGATAACCACCGTTTATTGTAGAGACAGACCAGAGTTCTGTTGCCCTGCAGCGTGAAGCTAAACACGACGGGCAAACAGAATCATCGTTCAGAGGCGTGCGGGACTAACGACGGGACCGAGCTTGTGTGCACCGAGCGTTCCACTCACTGCTCGTCGCACGAGTAGGTGATGCTGCTGCCAGTGGTGACGTTTCCCTCCCACTTCCCGTTGGGAATCTCATCAGGGCGCTCGCATTCCTCACCTGTGAACAGAACGAGAGAAGCGTGGATGCTACCGCGTTTTTGAAGCACCTCAACGTGATGCGAGTATGTTGAACTTCTTTTGCATGGTGCGTAGCCAACCGTGCTAATCGGAGGTGTGATGCTGTCGTGCGATGTGATGGCAACTGCGGGGGGCTCAATGAGGTCGGAGAGAATTACGGTGACTCTGCTCCGCTGAGCCGTGGCTCGCGTGAAGGTGAGCTGGATGCAACTCTCCCACACGTAACTTTGTTGACATCTTCAAATACTGATCGATAGACATTACTTTAATATGGCAACGAATAAAATAACTACATTGCTGATATTATTTATCGTCTAATTATTCAAAAACGTCACACGTTCACTCGGAAAACCGCACCATCTCGTTGCCTATAGTTGCCACTGTGATCCTATCAAGACCTTGCGATGTCAACCAATCACAGCCCTGTTGAATGGGCAGCAGTAAAAACGTGATGCTGAACAATGATGCAAGTTGCAGCCCGTGATGCAACTCTCTCTGCACCGTGTTGCAGCCCACGATGAATGGAAAAAACGTAAACATTATCTCAGCTCCCGCAATGTAGCGCTGTAGCATTTAAACATCAATGCCAGAGTGGACGTCCTCCGCCAATCCATCCGCTGCATCACTTACGGTTGCACCGCTTGTGGTCCGTGTCCCAAGCCGTCAGGTCACCCTTTCTTCTGCAGTACAAGTCAAACCCATCTGACGGAGACTTGTAGTCCTCGTCGCAGTCAAAGTAGACTGTCTGGTTTTCCAAGTACTGCTGTTTGTGGGCATACGCTGAAGAAAGCTTCGCGTGAGGCTGTGGAGGTGGCTTGCCGCAGAACGCTGAAGAGACGGAGAAACGTAGCCATGGGGTCACTTTCCATGCTCCCGATACAAAACCAAACAGGGGGCCATCCATTTAGTAGGCACGCGAAAATCTGTCAAAACTTGACCCATCCCCCCCTCCCTGTACGCACGCGGACTTTTTACCCCCCCCCACCTACGTACGCCTGACGCTCCCCCCACCCCCCCCCCCCCCCCCCCCCCCGATTCCTATAGAACGGCCGATATTCAATCCATGCAGAAACGATCAAAGATTAATACGATCAATGTGTTTAAGCAAACAGATAGTCCACCGCCGGACTATCTAACTCATTCGAAGGCCAATGTAGACAAATTATTATCGAGGCTTCACCCCCACCCCCCCCCGTTTTCTATGTGTCCATTGTCAGTAGCCCCCCCCCATACGCAAGCGAACGCATTTGGGTTACCCCCCCCCCTCCATGCGTACGTACTGAATGGATGGCACTCAGTTGGAAACGTTCTGAAGAACAGTTAACCTGGTCGTCGTACGTGAGTTCGTGGTGCTTGGGGCTAACAGGAACGGGGTTATTTGAGGTGAACTGAAGCTCTTGTAAAGGAGACAAGAGCGGGTACTCACGTTTACATGCGGGGGGCGATGACGACCACCGTTTATTGTGGAGGCAGACCAGAGTTCTGTTGCCCTGCAGCGTGAAGCTAAACACGACGGGCAAACGGAATCATCGTTCAGAGGCGTGCGGGACTAATGACGGGACCGAGATTGTGTGCACCGAGCGTTCCACTCACTGCTCGTCGCACGAGTAGGTGATGCTGCTGCCAGTGGTGGCGTTTCCCTCCCACTTCCCGTTGGGAATCTCATCAGGGCGCTCGCATTCCTCACCTGTGAACAGAACGAGAGAAGCGTGGATGCTACCGCGTTCTTGAAGCACCTCAACGTGATGCGAGTATGTTGAGCTTCTTTTGGAGCACCCGCGTGCACTCAAAGTGATGCGTGCGTGGATGTATGTTGAACGTCTTTCACACCGTACGTGGCCAACAGTGCAGTGCCGGATTATCGTAGTAGCAAAAGTAGCTACATATGTAGTAGCCACACATGTAGTAGCTACACAAGTAGTAGCTGCAGGCCCCGCACTTTCAAGGGCCCCGCGCTAAACGCTTTCAAGCTATCAACTCCGGTTCAGCGATTCTGCCCTTGCTCTATTACTATAGCACTATACCGCCTTCAACTTTTATGAACGACTGGGTGTTTAAGGCTAGCGGTTTGTCGTATTATCTGGCTGTATAGCAAATGAAAAAATACAATTAAATTTTGATTTAAAGCTTTCGTGACTGCAGTAATTCATATTCTTAGTTTTTTCGGTAAAGTCACGTTGAAGAGAAACAACAAAATAACAAAATATATATAAAACAATAAAAAATTCTCACGACGTTTCGACCATAACTCAAACGGTCATCATCAGGTGTGTCGGTTTGCAACGTGACTTTACCGAAAAAACTAAGAATATAAAATACAATTACTTTACTATGCAAGTTAAAAATGTGTGTTTGAATATTTACGTGTTTTTTTTTTTATTTAAGGCCCCTTCATAACATAATGCTACAGGCCCCGCACTAGCTTAATCCGGCACTGCAACCGTGCTAATCGGAGGCGTGATGCTGTCGTGCGATATGATGGCAACTGCGGGGGGCTCAATGAGGTCGGAGAGAATTACGGTGACTCTGCTCCGCTGAGCCGTGGCTCGCATGAAGGTGAGCTGGATGCAACTCTTCCACGCGTTACTTTGTTGACAGCTTCACATACCGAACGATACATTACTTTAATATGGCATTGTATAAAACAACTACATCGCTGATATTGTGTATTGTTAAAATTATTCAAAAACCTCACACGTTCAATTCAGAAAACTGCACCATCTCGTTGCCTATAGTTGCCACTGTGATCCTATCAAGACCTTGTGATGTCAACAAATCACGACCCTGATGATTGATCAGCAGTAAAAACGTGATGCTGAACAACGTTGCAAGTTGCAGGCCGTGCTGCAACTATCTATGCACCGTGTTGCAGGCCACAACGAATGGAAGAACCGAGACTTAAACATTATTTCAGCTCCCGCAATGTAGCGCTGGAGCATTTAAATGTCAATGCCAGAGTGGACTCCCTCTCTAATGCATCAGCTGAATGACTTACGGTTGCACCGCCGGTGGTCCGTGTCCCAAGTCGTTCGGCCACCCTCTTGCTTGCAGGTCAGGTAAAAGCCAAGCGAGGGAGACCTGTAGTACTCATCGCAGTAGAAGTAGGCATACTGATCTACGCGGTAGAGTCCCCTGCGATCGTAAGCTGCGGCAAGCTGCGCGTGGCGCTGTGGAGGTGGTTTTCCGCAGAACGCTGAAGGGACGGAGAGATGTAATCTTACCACTCCCTCCTGATAATGTCATTCAAAACCAAACCGTTGGCAATATACTGCAGTGAACGTTCAGAACAGTTTGGCCCGTATTCGTAAATGAGTTTATGATTCATCATTAGACTTCCTTTGCCAGTACCAACATGTAATAATAGGGTTTTTCCCCTTTTTTTCTGGCAACAAAACTTCAACCTTTTTTTTACAAGGATTCATGTCTGCAATAACCACAATTAGACTTCCTTTGCCAGTACCAACATGTAATAATAGGGTTTTTCCCCTTTTTTCTGGCAACAAAACTGAAACCTTTTTTTACAAGGATTCACGTCTGCAATAACCACAATACCTGCAGTCAAAATGCAAACAAAAAACATACTATGATAATATATGCATTGTCCTTGAAACTGATTGGTCCACACCAAGGGACGGCTTTCTTTTGAGCCTCGACCCAATTGGTGCTCGACCAGATGACGCCAAAGGAAATTGGTGCATGTGAAGTGAGGAAGACCCTGTAAAGGAGACGAGAGAGTGAGTGAGTAACTCACGGTCGCACACAGGAGGCGGTGACGACCACTCTTTAGTCTCAAGGCAGGTGAGCGTGCTCTCGCCCCCCAGTCTGAAACTAAAACAACATTATTACTGGAAGTTAATTCACCAACACAATATCGTATACGCTAGCGAACTATCTTGTTTTTATGAAGGTGAATATATCGTGAGACATGAAGCATAGCTCGCCTTAACATTCTTTCCATGCAAATGGGTAATGCTTAAAGTCTCACGACATATTTAGTTTGCAAACACAGATAATCAGCTGGTAAATATTGCCATTGTGAATTAACTTAGGGTGACAGCTAGTCTAGCACGGCCTAAAATATTATACACCGCTTTCAACAACCACAGCGCATTTTAGAGTGTCAAAAATTACCTCAACTCAGATGTACATATGTGTGTATGTATGTTGAACCTCTTTCGCACCGTACATAGCCGACCGTGCTTATTTGAATGTGCGGGGAGGACAACAAACCTTCAGCTGAGCCTTTGCTTTGATTGGCCCAGGGGTCAGCAAGCAAAACAACGAGAAGCGACATTTTGTTCTCGAATTCGGTAACAAAACAAACTCAATATTTCAAGAGCCGCAACGCACCGTGGGGTGAATACGAGACGGCGGGGCTCCTTAACAAACGACGTCAGGGGGCTGCAGGTTGACGTCCCCCCTGGACTCGAGGAAATGACCACGAGTGGCAGTAAAAGTATTGCACGATGCACGCCTCAGCCAAGACAAGTCCTCGGGAAGAGTTTCCCCTGGAGTGCTACGTTCTCGGCATTGTCCGAGCCATCGCACGGATGAGGGCACGGGTGATTTGGGATCATCGGCAAAGACATTCCCCCCCCAGTGTGGATAAGAGCAAGGGACCCGGCAGCGGCACCGACGTCTTCCCGCGAACGGGGCGGTGTCACGGAAGTGCCACCGCCGTCTTCCCGTTGTTGCAATAATTGATCGGGGTTGGTCTCCCACAAATCGTAAGCAAGTGCAACTCCATTGATCAATATTCATCCGCGGGTTAGAGCTCAGATAGAATGCGTCACATTTGAATAAACGAACAAGGTCACGAGAAAGCGCCCACAGCGAAACCCCTACGAATCCAGATGAAGGGAGTTCCGCTGCACAACTGGCTGAATATATTTTGCAAAGCAGTGCTTCACGCACTGTGAATTCAAAGCAGCTCCACTCACTGCTCGTCGCACGAGTAGGTGATGCTGCTGCCAATGGTGACGTTTCCCTCCCAATTCCCGTTGGGAATCTTATCAGGGCGCTCGCATTCCTCACCTGTGAACAGAATGAGAGAAGCGTGGATGCTACCCGGGTTCCTGAAGCACCCGCGTGCACTCAAAGCGATGCGTGCGTGCGTGGATGTATGTTGAACTTCTTGCGCGCCGTACGTGGCCAACCGTGCTAATCGAGGGTGTGATGCAGTCGTGCGATGTGATGGCAACTGCGGGGCTCTCAATGGGGTCGGAGAGAATTACGGTGACTCTGCTCCGCTGAGCCGTGGCACGCGTGAAGGTGAGCTGGATGCAACTCTCCCACACGTAACTTTGTTGACACCTTCAAATGCCGCGCAGCAACCCATATCAAACACTGCGACTTCGATGCACCTATATTTAAAAGTGGTGGCATGTAATGGAGCCTTTCTAGTCAATCATGGCCCATAAATCAGCATAAATACAGTATATGTTGAAAATAGGGTTTTCCCCTTTTTACTGGCAACAAAACAGGTGTTAAGGTGTCCTCTGGTCTAACACCGTTTGAGACGAGGCTCAAAAGAAAGCTGTCTCTGGTGTCGACCAATCAGTTTCAAAGACAATGCATCATATTATCAGAGTGTGTTTTTTGTTTGCATTCTGACCACAAGCATTGTGGCTAATGCAGACATGATTCCTTGTAAAAGGTTTCAATTTGGTGTTTTAACATCTTAACACAGCTGTTTTGTTGCCAGAAAAAAAGGGGAAAAACCTATTCTCATATTTTGGTCCTGGCAAAGGAGGTCCCATGATACAGTCCAGTTCTTTGGTTCTTTCGGTAAAGCCACGTAGGTGACTTTACCGAAATAGCCAAAGAGTATGGATTCCTGCAGTCACGAAAGCTTCAAATCAAGATACAGTACAGTTGTTTCTTTGCTGCAAGGACTTGGTGGTAAACTAAAATTGACTTTTTATTTTACCAGGGAAGGGCCCCACTGAGCTGTGTGGCTGTTTTTTTCAGAAGCGACCTGGCCACAAATGATAGCTCAACGAAGCGGCTTATCGTGTGGAAATGTACAGCATCCGAAAACTCTAAACGCGCGTTTACCAAACGTGGAGGGTAAACCGAAGGACCCTGGAGAAAAATCCACGCGACCACGGGGAGAGCGTGCAAACTCTAAATATGCAGGCGTCAGGGTCGTGATCGAACCCACGACCTCCTGTATATCAGGCGAGGTTGTTAACATCTCGCCACCGAGATGTAGAATGGTATAATGCTGTGATTCATGCGTTTCAGGTGCCCCATCCAGGACTGTAATCGATTCCCCTGGTGATGGATGTATCGACATTAATGGTTAATTTCAGTCTATTTTATTACTATACTGCATATCATAAATTACGTAAACTACTCACCCGAAAATGTTGGCCTACTCGTGTGGCTAGTCTGAGTATGCGCACGTGGACAGGGGAACGGAAGTCCCAGACATGATCTGTTGATGTCCAGGTGTTCCAGTAGAGCGCCTGCTATTTCGAGTTAGAGAGCCTTCAATTAATTCTATAAACCTCTGCCCACAACCATCGGGTGAACGTGATTCGAGTGAAACAAAAGTACTGTATGCGTGAACAAAGTATGGAGTTCATATTCTTGGGTCTTTCGGTAAAGTCACGTAGATAGGTTCAAAGAAAGTAACAAAAAAATAACAAAAAACTACGACGCTTCGATGGCAACACAAGCAATCGTCATCAGGAGAAAAAATAGCTGGAAAGCTGCTGAGGCAGAATGTTTTAAAGGTTTGAAATCGGTGTTTGTATTTTTTTTGTTATTTTCTTTGAACCTATCTGCGTGACTTTACCGAGGGACCCCAAGAATATGAATTCCTGCAGTCACGAAAGCTTTGCGTCAAAGTATGGAGTCTATTATTTACCTGGGTCAAGTTCGATAGTTATTCCAGAATTTGCTCAGTGCTGCAGACCAAGGTGAATGGTGCAACACAGCTGTGAATATTATGCAACACACACCTATTGTCAGGTTGAAGCATTCAACATCTGTGAAAATGTCCACCCTCGCTAATGCATCAGCTGAATGACTTACGGTTGCACCGCCGGTGGTCCGTGTCCCAAGTCGTTCGCTCACCCTCTTGCTTGCAGGTCAGGTAAAAGCCAAGTGAGGGAGACCTGTAGTACTCATCGCAGTAGAAGTAGGCGTACTGATCTACGCGGTAGAGTCCCCTGCGATCGTAAGCTGTGGCAAGCTGCGCGTGGCGCTGTGGAGGTGGTTTTCCGCAGAACGCTGAAGGGACGGAGAGATGTAATCGGGGTTCAAATTTCCATGCTCCTGATGATATAATTAAAAACCATGACAGTTGGAAATGTACGAAGCATTCAACGTTCAGACCAACAGTTTGGCCCGTATTAGTTAAACGAGCCCATGATAATTTGCCCAATCGACGCATGCGAAGTGAGGAAGACCCTGTAAAGGAGACGAGAGAGAGAGCGAGAGTGAGTAACTCACGGGAGCACGCAGGAGGCGGTGACGACCACTCCTTAGTCTCAAGGCAGGTGAGCGTGCTCTCGCCCTCCAGTCTGAAACTGCAATCCAACGGAGTGTGTCAACGTAATCGTGTTCGTTCAAAATATCATCATCTCATTTGATATCGATCGAGCGCCTTAGCTCCCGGCGCTGTACATAGTTTAAAAGTGGTGACAGCAATCGAGTGATTTAGATGGCAGGGGCACAATGCCGAGGAATGAGTGACCGTGACAGAGGTCACGTGGGGGTCACAGAAGGGCTACAGGGGAGGGACGGGACAGAGTGGAGAGGGCGAGGGGAGGGAATAGGAAGGGAACGGGCAAAGGAGAAGAAGTGGTGAGGCTTCGAGAGGGGAACATGAAGGAGATTATACATTTTGAGTCCTGCACCATATGGCCAGCAAAACGATCAGTTTTACAAGCTAAACAAAGGGATCTGGCGGTCCTCCGAGGACTTTCAGAGAGCCACGGTCCCCCTGACACGTGAGGAATGAGAATAAGTAGCGATGGACGTTGCCGGTAGGATATTAACATGAACGAGTATGCTCGCCCGACCCAAAACCCTCGGGAAGTGGGACAGGTTTATGGGTAGCTTTATCCTCCACAAGCCTCGGGTGCCATCAAAGCGGCAGAGGCAGCACCTGGGGTTACAAGGCGCTCCTCGGGGGCCGGCTTGGACAGCGCCCGGTCACAGGCGGGGCGACTCGCCAGACGGATGGACAAGCCGCACTCGCCACCGGCTCGTCGTGTCTTCAGTCAGAAGATGAGAAGTTCGAGACTCCGAGGCCTTACCCCTCGTTGCACTTGAAGTGAACGGTATTCCCAACTGTGCCGCCATCGCCTTCCTTCTGGCTTCCGTGTACGTGCGGCAGCTCTTTGCACGCCCTCGCTGCAAATGCAACGGACATATTATTTTCCTTCTCATTTACAACTCTTCAGCGAGGTGGCAAGCACACGCGAGATTCTATTATGCAGCACAATTATTGGTCTCTGAAGTAATATAATGAAATTGTTAAATGTGAAACAAAAGTTATTGACGTACAAGATAACCAAGACATCCTACCACGAATGTCTGTTTGTTGGGATTATAAAACTACAGAACAAACCGTAAACACATACTTAAACGGTGTATAGCCACCAGTTTTCAGCGCTGCCGTTACAGCAGAGTCCGTAGCTACGTTGTTTCGTGAAGACATGCAGTGTGTAAGGTAAATGCAATTCAAAACGTTCCCAAATGGAACAGAAATTAAGTGAACAAAAAAGAGTAAAATTATACGACAAATGTATTGAATGAGAATTCATTTAAAAGGCAATATTGCTGCACGGCATGAAAGCAGCAGCAGTAATAATTAATTTGTGATCCTCAATGAGAAGGCAACATCACTTGTCATGTGTGTGTGGGGGGGGGGGGGGGGGTTACTCAAGCACCTTTAGAGACAACGTGCAGGAAGACTGGGGGCCTTCAGCGTGTCACTTACGTTTACACTCCGGATGGTTATCCGACCACCTCCCGTTGGCTTGGCAGGTGACGTTGGGCGACCCCACCAACACGTATCTTTGGCAAGAAGCATTCCGTTACTCGTGGCCCATCACAACAGAGCCACAGAATCACCCATCTACGTTGCCCGCTTTCATTGGGAACCTGCGATCAGGTTGGGGCCACACTTGGAGCCTTCGGGGACGGAAGTGCAGTGGGAGTGCTCGACTGGCAAACGGCAAATCGTGACGCTTGCCTCGAACAGTGGCACGGGGCACTTATTACTCCTCAATCGTCTCCCGGGCCCATTGGATGCTCGTGTTTCCAAACAACCATTCTCGCACCTCCGATTAGCACTGTTGGCTATGTACGGTGCGAAATAAGTTATATATCTACATTATGAGGGCCGTATTATCCAATAGGCACAGGAGCCACCGTGCTTAGGGCCTACGAAATTTAAAGGGCTACGAAAAACTAATTTTCACCACGTTTCTCTTTGTTTGTATGATCAAAAATTTGACCAAGATATCTTATTGAATAAATATATTTGTATAGCAAGGATAGGCACAGTGTACATACAAAGAGGCAGAGTCGTGTCAATGTCAATATTGTTTTTTCATAAGGTGAGAGAAATTAACGCCGGAGATGAACTTTTTGAGATTTTTTTCACCGCGAAAAAATGTGCAATAATAATAAGTAAAAATCTGCTTATCTGCAGCAACACAGCGCACTCCCATCGAATGAGGGCACAGACTTAACAATGAACGGTATCAGCAGTGACGACATCTGTCCAGCGGCTGGACGATGTACCGCGTGAAACATGCGGAGTGACAGCGGCGGTAGTAACATGTGGCGGCAGCAGCAGTAGGAACTGTAGAAAGTTATCACTAAAGGCCTACGAAACACAAGTGCCTAGGGCCTACAAGAACCTGAATCCAGCCCTGCATCCATACAGTCCCACAAAAGGCCGTAGGCTTTACAAAAACCCACACCTTTTGCTTCTCTGATACCAGAATCCATCTAAGTGGAACTAACTCAAGCGCACAGGTTTTGCAATCCGAGGGCAAGGAGATTGTAAAAAAAAACGATCGTGTTAAGTCCCAGATACGCTGAGCTAGGTATGTCTGAATCTCCTTTAAGTCGGCAGGTCACAAGTCAACTTCCGTAAGTTGGGCTACTCTATCGAACCTGATACGCGTGACCCCAGCGAGACACAGGGCCATCCGCCGAAAAGGATCCTTGCCAGGGACACAGACTGGGCCACATCATGTGTCAGATACTGGATAAACCTATGACTGGTGTGGCAGAACACAAGGAGATTGATAATAGAAAATGGCCTCCCATATTCAGGCCTTTAGAAACGTAACTGGTAGAGGAAGCAACATTCAGCTCACCCGTCATTGCAGCTGCATTTGGCCACTTTTTCTTGAGTGCAAACAGCATTGGCTACGGTCAGAGTCCCACAGTTCACTTCTGTAAACACAAGAGGAGGCGATGCTTCTTAGCAGGTCCACCTCGTGTGAAAACCACGAGACAGGCATGGGAGGGGTGAACATGTAGGGCTGTCACCATGTCCACTGTGGACCAAACACAGACATATTTCTCAAAGCCCAAGTCTATCAAAGCTGTTCACATACACTGTGATTATGAAGTTCAACACAGCAATATCGTTACCAGATCTCAGTACAAACGGATTCCTGCCGCCGACCGAGGACATATGCCAATTCCCAGACTGCCCGGGTTCAAACCTGACGAGATGGCAACCCTAGGCAGCACATCTCTGTACTCCAAACCACCCTGTCCTTCTCGTTATGGCTGAATGAATAGCAATGTATACGTATGTAAATATAATAATAGGGGTTTACCCTTTCTAGCAATAAAAGAGGTGTTAAGATGTTCAAACACCAAGTAGAAACCTTTTTTTGCAAGGAATCATGTCCGCATTAACCAGAAACGGTATTTGTGGTGAACATGCAAACAAACATGCTCTGATGTTTAAGTGTACGCCAAAATTAGCCCGGATAGATGTGTGTCGAACGAGAACCCATAACTAACAGGGAGGGTCTTTGCCTGTAAACATCTGGAAATGTACCAGCATTGGTTCGAGCCAACCTGACTCTGCTAATGAGGCACCGAATCTCAAAACCGGTCTGGAGTGTTGCGGAACGAATGCTGCTGAAGATATGCACGCCCAAAGGCACTGTGGCTGATGGGATGTTTAAAAAAAAAAACTTTATATATTTTTTTATTTGGAGTGACATATATGAGGTGTATCGTTTACTTATTTATTTTGTTACTCATATTCTCACACAGTGACGCAAATTATGATTTTGTGTTTTCAAGGTTAGCCAGGAAGTGGATTCAGCACGTTCATTTCAAAATAAATATCCAACTAAAATAGAAGGTAAACAATCTCAAATCTGCCATACTCTTGGATTTACTTAAATATACGGCGTATGTTCCTTCGACTGGGTTGACCTCCTATTTAGATTTGACCTGGAGAGTCCGGGAATTGGCATCTGCGTTCGCATGGCAGAAACTGATTTGCTCCCGAGATCTGGTGTTCAACCTTATTGCAGTCTTAAATGCACAGTTCTGATCATTCGAGCGAGGCTGACTGAAAAATAAGTCCGTGCCTCGGTCTACGTGGGGAAAGGTGGCCACCCTTAACCTCCAGTCAGTGAGAGCAGAGAAATTCTACCCGTTGGGAAGCAACACCTGGGTTATTGTGATTGCACAGAGGTCTGTAACTTGCGTCGCAGGAAGGCCGAACGTGCACACAGGGGGTCGTCTTTGTTGCTACTTTAAGGTGCCAAGTTTTAACAGGGGGTGGAACGAGAGACCCGATTCAGTCCACCGGCAGCGAGCACGATGATGAAGTCAAACGTTTGTGAACACAGGCAGACCTCGCTCAGCGCGACTCCACACAACGCCAATTCGTTAGAGCGCTCTCCCGTAAATGCGTTGCTGAAAAGTGCCGAGTAAAGCGAAAACCGCGTTCACTTGAAAACAATTTCCCCGTAAATAATATCGCGATAAAGTTTGGCGACATGCGACGTACCACCACCACTACTACGCACGGTGGGATGGTGGGAAACATAACTGGGGGTACGCCAACGCGTTACTGTTTCATCCCGCGCATTGTATCACTACACCGCGCAGCTCAAGAAAGTAGTTCGTCATCGACCACTCATGAATGGCGTTATAATGGCGCGCGTTCCGCGTTATAACGTGGCGCGTTCCACGTTACAATGGCGTGCGTTATGCGTTGTGCAAAAAAACATTCCCAAAAGGAAGAACCGCGTTACAGCAACAGCACGTTCTAGTGTGAGGACTTACAGTCTATACAGTCTTTGGGGCCGTCCATAAATGATGTCACGCGATTTTGGACGATTTTTGACCCACCCCCCCCCTCGTCACACGGCGTCACAAAAAGTCAGACCCGCCCTCAAATATGACGTCACAAAGCTCTGCCCCCCCCCCCAAAACCATATTTCCATTTTTAAAAAAGAACATGCTTCAAATCGCTTTAAACTATTGTCATTGTAGTACGTAATTAATGTGGCGCTGCACTCTGATGCTGTAGGAGAAAACATTTATTTAAAAAGTCTATTTAATTAAGTAGAACGTGTTGTCTATATTTATTTAAAGTTGCGCATTTTGATGTGACGTCACATTTATCAACCCCACCCCCCTCGTCACACATCGTCACAAATGTCTGACCCCCGCCCCCCAGGTGCGTGACGTCATTTATGGACGGCCCCTTTAGAGTCTGTACAGTCTTTACGAGCCGCACTGGCCGAGGAAACGTACCCGCCCCCTTTTCTTTAGTTTTTTAGTTAGTTTATAACCATCCTCCCTGAAATCATTGGAAAGATGTCATCAACCACTTTGGGTCATGACTTGATTTGTGTGTTCTTGTCAATGCGAGCACAGGTCAAGTCATGACTTGATTTGTGTCGGTTTATGGTGATCTGACCCCAGGGCACATATGCCCCGCCCACTTCGTTCTGACACCGAGACGTTTTGTGACACTGCATGTTCCGTGCTTCTCATTGCTGCTCTCTGGCCCTAGGGCACATATGCCCCGCCCACTCTTGGTCTTGTGCCACGCCCATTTTTTTAAACCTTTATAAACGGTTGCCTTAGGTGACCATCTCCCTCTTTCCTGCTGAAGACGATCGCTTGTGTTGTGATAAAAACGTCGTGGTTTTTGTGTTTGGATTTTTTTTATTATTTTAATTTTTATTACCGAAAGAACCAAGAATAAGTCTACATTATAGACTGCCAGTACGCTCACTCAGGTTAATAACCAGGCTACAGTCTACATTATAGACTGCCAGTACACTCACCCAGCTTAATAACCATTGCTACAGTCTACATTATAGACTGCCAGTACACTCACTCAGCTTAATAACCAGGCTACAGTCTACATTATAGAGTCAGTACACTCACCAAACTTAATAACCATTACTACAGTCTACATTATAGACTGCCAGTACACTCACCAAACCGAATAACCATTGCTACAGTCTACATTATAGACTGTCAGTACACTCACTCAGATTAAGAACCAGGCTACAGTCTACATTATAGGATGGTGGAGGGAGGAGGAGGATGGTGGAGAGAGGATGGTGGAGGGAGGAGGATGGTGGAGGGAGAAGGAGGAGGATGGTCGAGGAAGGAGGAGGATGGTGGAGGGAGGAGGATGGTGGAGGAGGAGGATGGTGGAGGGAGGAGGAGGAAGATGGTGGAGGAAGGAGGAGGATGGTAGAGGGAGGAGGACGGTGGAGGGAGGAGGAGGATGGTGGAGGGAGGTGGCGGAGGAGGAGTTGTATCGGTCAAAATGTGATCGATACACTGTCCACATACAAACAACAATATATGTGTAAACATGGCGACGACAAGATATTTGGTATAAAACTCGTACGTGGTTTAACCGAAAAGTAAATATGGATTTTTTTTTGTTTGCATTGGCTACAAAAAGCTACAATTTAAAGGTCGCAAATTATTATCATTAACACTTCAGATACTGTGCATGTCAGTATAAATACGATGCAGCATTTTGACAGTTGTAACAACTAACAATAACAACAATAACTAATTAGGTGCCGTTTTGAATAAAAAAGGTTGCCCTAAAATAAGTTGCTCAATTAAATGTATAATGTATTTTAAAAAATTACCGAGTGAATTTCGCCTTTTTCCAAATCCTAAGAGCCACTCCAGGTATCGTACTGCAATGAAACAAACAGATTAATGCTGCTTCACTTGATGATTCACAAGGGCTGTGTGATGCTTCATGTGTTTTTTTTTTCTCACGTGAAATTAACCATTAAAATGTTAAGTAATTACATAATGACAAACATGAGCTTTTCAGAACCTTAGGACTGTAATATGAGTGAAGTATGTTGACTTTGCCTAGTCGTTTTTTCTGATTCTCATGGTTGTATCGACGTCACGGCAAAGTATTCACACTCCGATCTCTCACAGCAGTTGTCAGCGAACGGCCCGTGGAAGCGGACATCACAGAGCTACCTCTGAGACCCCCTTCTTGGAGTGATCTCTGGTTGCACACAGTGGAGGGAAGCACACTCGTGGAGTAAGGGGCCATACATTTAGTAGGTACACAAAAATCTGTCAACACTATAGAACTGCCGATATTTAATCCACGCAGAAACGATCAAGGATTAATAATAATAATAACGTGTTTAAGCAAACAGTCCACCGTTTGCTTCAACACGCTTCCGTTGGTGGACATTCCACATTCCTTTGGTGAAGGCCAATCTTGAAATAGTAGGCAAACCATTACGTTTAACCGGCTATTGAAAAAAAAACATGATAGAGGTTTTGAATATTTTTGTTCCTTTAAAAAAATATATAGATTCATTGACAAAAACGCATTTTGCCGATAATCTGCATCTGCCTTCCTTGGCATAGATGTCAGGCTACCAGTGACTACGGCGTTCCTACGCTCTGCTGTGCCCTGGTTAATGGAAGGTACTTGGTAATATATCTCACAATCGCTACCAATATACAGTCCAGACATCTTCCGCTCAACGTTCACTGATCATTTGCCGTGTTTGTCTCTCTCCGTGTCGCGCATTCAACCGGTACGATCACTGAAGGCAACGGTTAATTATATTCGTGTAAACTCACGCAAGGATGCATTGAATTCATCTTGGGAGTCTGATAACAACACCAAAAAACACGGATATGTTAGACAACTGGCGGGTGGGATTTGTGGAGTCTGGTAGAAGTGCTGGGATGACTTAATGTGGGATTTGTGGAGTCTGATAGAAGTGCTGGGATGACTTAATGTGGGATTTGTGGAGTATGGTTGAAGTGCTGGAATGACTTAATGTGGGATTTGTGGAGTCTGGTAGAAGTGCTGGGATGACTTAATGTGGGATTTGTGGAGTCTGGTAGAAGTGCTGGGATGACTTAATGTGGGATTTGTGGAGTCTGGTTCAAGTGCTGGGATGACTTAATGTGGGATTTGTGGAGTCTCTTTGAAGTGTGAGGATGACTGAATGTGGGATTTGAGGAGTCTGGTAGAGGTGCGGGGATGACAACGTGGGATTTGTGGAGTCTGGTAGCAGTGCTGGGATGACTTAATGTGGGATTTGTGGAGTCTGGTAGAAGTGCTGGGATGACTTAATGTGGGATTTGTGGAGTCTGGTAGCAGTGCTGGGATGACTTAATGTGGGATTTGTGGAGTCTCTTTGAAGTGTGAGGATGACTGAATGTGGGATTTGAGGAGTCTGGTAGAGGTGCGGGGATGACAACGTGGGATTTGTGGAGTCTGGTAGCAGTGCTGGGATGACTTAATGTGGGATTTGTGGATTCTGGTAGAAGTGCGGAGATGACTTAATGTAGGATTTGTGGAGTCTGGTAGAAGTGCTGGGATGACTTAATGTGGGATTTGTGGAGTCTGGTTCATGTGCTGGGATGACTTAATGTGGGATTTGTGGAGTCTCTTTGAAGTGTGAGGATGACTGAATGTGGGATTTGAGGAGTCTGGTAGAGGTGCGGGATGACAACGTGGGATTTGTGGAGTCTGGTAGCAGTGCTGGGATGACTTAATGTGGGATTTGTGGAGTCTGGTAGAAGTGCTGGGATGACTTAATGTGGGATTTGTGGAGTCTGGTAGCAGTGCTGGGATGACTTAATGTGGGATTTGTGGAGTCTGGTAGAAGTGCTGGGATGACTTAATGTGGGATTTGTGGAGTCTGGTAGAAGTGCTGGGATGACTTAATGTGGGATTTGTGGAGTCTGGTAGCAGTGCTGGGATGACTTAATGTGGGATTTGTGGAGTCTGGTAGAAGTGCTGGGATGACTTAATGTGGGATTTGTGGAGTCTGGTAGAAGTGCTGGGATGACTTAATGTGGGATTTGTGGAGTCTGGTAGAAGTACTGGGATGACTTAATGTGGGATTTGTGGAGTCTGGTAGAAGTACTGGGATGACTTAATGTGGGATTTGTGGAGTCTGGTTGAAGTGCTGGGATGACTTAATGTGGGATTTGTGGAGTCTGGTAGAAGTGCTGGGATGACGTAATGTGAGATTTGTGGAGACTGGTAGAAGTGCGGAGATGACTTAATGTGGGATTTCAGGAGTCTGGTAGAAGTGCTGGGATGACTTAATGTGGGATTTGTGGAGACTGGTAGAAGTGCGGAGATGACTTAATGTGGGATTTGTGGAGTCTGGTAGAAGTGCGAGGATGACTTAACGTGGGATTTGAGGAGTCTGGTAGAAGTACTGGGATGACTTAATGTGGGATTTGTGGAGTCTGGTAGAAGTGATGGGATGACTTAATGTGGGATTTGTGGAGTCTGGTACATGTGTGAGGATGACTTAATGTGGGATTTGTGGAGTCTGGTAGAAGTGCTGGGATGGCTTAATGTGAGATTTGTGGAGTCTGGTAGAAGTGCTGGGATGACTTAATGTGGGATTTGTGGAGTCTGGTAGAAGTGCTGGGATGACTTAATGTGGGATTTGTGGAGTCTGGTAGAAGTGCTGGGATGATAATGTCTGGCATCAGGGCACACACAGCCAGCAACCACTGCGGTCCCGGATCAAGCCCAGGGAAACCTGCCACGTGGCGGCAGTCGGTCTCCACGTGACGCGTCCGAGGGCGACCGAGCAACAATCTGACTGCATTTATTTATTTAATCGCGTACTACGATTCGTGATAATCGAATCGCGAAGGGGGTGTGGGGGTCTGATTGGCTGAGAGGGTACGTCGCTCTCATTGGCTGAGCCAATGATGGGGGCGGGTACGTTAACTCGGCCAGCGTGGCTCGTATAGACTGTAAATACTGTACATGCTGCGTAGACTGCAAGTACTGTACAGACTGTATAGACTAAATACTGTATACACTGTAAATACTGCAAAGACTAAATCATCGCTTCACGCATGGCAGTGTTCCAACTGTAACGCGTTTTCGTTACAACATGGTTATCCCATTAGGGAACACTTATCTAACAATACGCAGAACGTGCACCAATATTGCACGGAACGCGCACCGTTATGACGCAGAATGTGCACCGTTATGACGCGGAACGTGCACCGTTATGACGTAGAACGTGCACCGTTATGACGCGGAACGTGCACCGTTATGACGCGGAACGCGCACCGTTATGACGCGGAACGTGCACCGTTATGACGCGGAACGCGCACCGTTATGACGCGGAACGCGCACCGTTATGACGCGGAACGTGCACCGTTATGACGAGGAACGCGCACCGTTATGACGCTGAACGCGCACCGTTATGACGAGGAACGTGCACCGTTATGACGTAGAACGTGCACCGTTATGACGCTGAACGCGCACCGTTATGACGAGGAACGCGCACCGTTATGATGAGGAACATGCACCGTTATGACGAGGAACGTGCACCGTTATGACGAGGAACGTGCACCGTTATGACGTAGAACGTGCACCGTTATGACGCTGAACGCGCACCGTTATGACGAGGAACGTGCACCGTTATGACGAGGAACGCGCACCGTTATGACGCTGAACATGCACCGTTATGATGCGGAACGTGCACCGTTATGACGCGGAACATGCACCGTTATGACGCGGAACGTGCACCGATATGACGAGGAACGTGCACCGTTATGACGCGGAACCCTCGCCGACTCCGCTGCCGCCGCCTCCACTAGACATTGCGCTGCTGGAAGTTGTCGGCAACCTCAGTGAGCGCCGTCAGCGTTTGACGGTCCGGGTCGTGCTCAGGCTCGGCTGAGCCACTGTGGAGAGTGTACGGACGAGGCCGTGAGAGGTGTTCATGAAGAAGGTGCCTCCTATCAACTCTGAATCGTTGACACGACACATTCGTGGCGACTGTTTTCATACTATTGTTCCCGCAAGTCTGATTGGCGCTCGCACCTCTGAATGGCACGGTTGGCTACGTACGGTGCGAAAGAAGTTCAACAGACATACAAGTTTAAACTATTTTTAAATGCTAAACTAACGTCATAGATATAGCATAACAGACCAGGTAATATATCAATAATAGACACAGAGAGAGAGAGAGAGACACAGCATAGACACACAGACAGATACACAAGCAGAGAGAGACAACACAGAGACACACAGAGAGAGACACAAGCAGAGAGATAAACACACAGAGACACAGAGAGAGAGACACACAACATAGACACACAGAGAGAGATAACAGAGACACAGAGAAACACACAACATAGACACATAGAGAGACACAACTTAGACACAGAGACAACACAGAGACACACAGAGACAACACAGAGACACAGACAGACACACAAGCAGAGAGAGACAACACAGACACAAAATAGACACACAGAGACACAGCAGACACACACAGAGAGACAACACAGAGACAGAGAGACACACAGCATAGACACACAGAGAGAGACACACAGAGAGACACACAGCACAGACACACAAGCAGAGACAACACAGAGACACAGACACACAACATAGACACACACAGATCAAATTCCTCTGTGTCGAGGCCTCTGTGTGTCTGTGTTGTCTCTCTCTGCTTGTGTCTGCCTGTGTGTCTCTGTGTCTGTGTTTTGTCTCTCTCTTGAATGTAGTTCTACCTGATGACGATTGCTTGTGTTGCACTCGAAACGTCGTACTCTATTATTTAATTTTCTTTCTACGTGACTTTACCGAAAGAACCAAAGAGTAGTTCCTGCAGTCACGAAAGCTTCAAATCAAGTTTAATAATAATCATTCTAACCGCGTGTATGCCCCCCCAGTGCCAGGGGGGATGCGGCTCCATGCCGCACATCAGCTTGCAAGGGGTCTTGTCCCTGCAGAGTCCTTGAGCCTAAGGCCGTAATTATAATATATATTCAAATATGCTCAAATATGCTCCAAATGTCCCCCCCCCCCCCAATATATTGCTATAAAATAGATTTTTGTTTATATGATTGTGGTTATGGTTGTACTTGATTAATCCCTAATCTCTGCTATTACATACAATGGAACAAGAAATGGTAAGAAATATTTTAGGCAGGAAATGTCAGGAAATTCGTTTTCAAATTTAGACCCCCCCCCCCAGACCCCCTGGAAGATTTGGTCCCCCCCAACGTTGACTCCATGGCTACGGCCTTGGTTGAGCCACCCCACCCACCGCCCCCTAAGGACAAAGGGGTAGTGCCGGTGCCGCGACTGAAGTCAAAGAACCAAGCTGATCGTCTCGCCCGCGTCGACCGGACGAGTTTCCGCTGCTTTCATGCGGAATTCCCAACGCTGGCAAATAAACTAAAATTTAGAAGTGAACTTTCAATCTCGCCGATGATTTAAAAAAGCGCACAGCTCCGGTGGCATCCGATAGCGCGCGACGCGGCGACCGTCCTCGTTCGATGACGAGCGGCCACGCTGCGCAAAATTATTCACACTTTAAAACGTTCACCTTACATTTACCTTTGCACCTTCGGAATCTGCCAATCGTCCGCCACCTGCCCCTGTCGCATAAGAGCGTGTACTCATTTCGATCATGGCAGGTGAACTTCACGGTCTCCCTGGAGGTGAAGTACGTCTTCTCCCACGCCAGCACGCTCATGTCGGCGTTTGAGTCGACGGGAGGACGCTGGCACACGACTTGTTGGACAAGAGGAGGGGTAGGAGCAGGAGGACAAACAGACGAACAAAAACATCGGCACCGATCGATGCCCTCTCTCCGCCAACCCCCACCACCGCCACCACCCCGAGCCAGCGTTTGGAATTCCGCATCGAAACTTGTTCGGTGCGACTCGGGAGAGACGATCGGCTTGGTTTTTTTTTAACTTGAGTCGTGGCGTCGGTACTACCCCTTTGCTCTCGTGGGGGGGGGTGGGGGGTGGGCGGTGGGTGGTGGGGTGGCATCAAGCACTCTGCAGGGACAGGACCCTGTTGCAAGCGGATGCGCGGTATGGAGCAGCATCTCCCCTGACGCTGGGTCCCCTAGATCCAGGGTGAGAACTCGGAGCCACTCTCGGCCTAGTGCCCCTCTGGCCGAACCGCGACCGTCCAATAGTGCAGCCCGCGTCGGGCGCGAGTCTGTCTGGCACAGAGCAAGAGGACCCAGCCCCGACTGGTCAGCTTCATTTTGCTTAGCCAGGTGAGAAATCAAGAGATCGGGGATGAGTCTCAAATTGCAAGAGGGATCTGGGGAATTCATCTGCATGTAGAGGGGGACAATGATTGCTATGGATAATTACATTTGAGCGATTGAGGAGGGTGATTTTCTAAATTTGGGATATTTGGACCCACAAATTGGGACACTAAAAACAAGACGGGTGGGGAGAATTCTAGTGGCATAGACGGTGGAGAAAGATCCGAGTGGTGGATGCGGCAGAACAGCTCCCTTTCGCCCTCGTGAGAAGGCAGGAAGGCAGCCATGCGGTGAGGCGACGCCAAAAATGCCCAAGTTCTGCAGTCCTCTATGTACTAAGGTGTTATCGGTCAATTAGTGATTTCCATATGTGCGAGGGAGCAACACTGCATCCCATACGGGGGGAACAATGCGGGCCAGGGTTATGGCACCTCCTCGAAGCCCACGGGAAGGGAGTCTTCACGACATTTACGCGATCCACCTACCCTGCCCGCCTCCACTGTGCTGGATTAGCGGCAGCCGCGTGAGCAGCCACCGCCACCGCCCGGACGAGGCCACGTTAGAGTGGCGTTTGGCCGTGGTCCTTGTGCGGCTGGCAGCGGGCACACTCACCCGTGCATTGGGGCGGGTAGGTCGGGTACCACTTGCCTGACTTGCACGTGCGCGTGACCGGGCCTCCCAGCAGGGATCTGCGCCGTGAGAATCAGAATGTTTGCTTACACTGGGGGAGTTGGGCCACAGAGACAAAGATCCTCCCCACCCAGCCCCCCACAGTACACACACAGTACACACACACAGTACACACAGTACACACACAGTACACACACAGTACAGACAGTACACACACACAGTACACACAGTACCCACAGTACACACAGCACACAGTACACACACAGCACACACAGTACACACACAGTATACACACAGTACACACACAGTACACACACACAGTACCCACACAGTACACATACAGTACCCACACACTACACACAGTACATACAGTACCCACAAACAGTACACACACAGTACACACACACAGTACACACAGTACCCACACACAGTACACACACACAGTACACACACAGTACACACACAGTACACACAGTACACACACACAGTACACACACAGTACACACAGTACACACTACCCACACACAGTACCCACACACAGTACACACACAGTACACACACAGTACACACACAGTACACACACAGTACACACAGTACCGACACAGTACACACACAGTACACACACAGCACACAGTATACACACAGTACACAGAGTACACACACAGCACACAGTACACACACAGTACACACAGTACACACACACACACAGTACACACACAGTACACACACAGTACACACAGTATACACAGTACAAACAGTATACACACACAGTACACAGAGTACACACACAGTACACACACAGTACACACAGTATACACACAGTACAAACCGTACACACACACAGTACACACACACAATACACACACACAGTACACACACAGCACACAGTACACACACACAGTACACACACGGTACACACAGTACCCACACACAGTGCACACAGCATACACACAGTACACACACAGTACACACAGAGTACCCACACACAGTACACACACAGCACACACAGTATACACACAGTACACACACAGTACACACAGTACACACACAGTACACACACAGCACACACAGTACACACAGTACACACACACAGTACACACACAGTACACACAGTACGCACACACAGTACACACAGCACACACACAGTACACACACAGCACACACAGTACACACAGTACATAGTACACACACAGCACACACAGTACACACAGTACACACACAGCACACATACACAGTACACACACAGTACACACAGTACCACACACAGTAAACACAGCATACACACAGTACACACACAGCACACACACAGTACACACACACACAGTACACACACAGCACACAGTACACACACACAGTACACACACAGTACACACACAGTACACACACACAGTACACACACAGTACACACACACAGTACACACATACAGTACACACACAGTACACACACACAGTACACACACAGTACACACACAGTACACACAGTACCCACACACACTCACACACAGTACACAGAGTACACACACAGCACACACACAGTACACACACACAGTACACACACAGTACACACAGTACCCACACACATTACAAACAGCATACACACAGTATATACACAGCACACGGTACACACACAGTACACACAGTACACACACACAGTACACACACAGTACACACAGTACCCACACACAGTACACACAGCATACACACAGTACACACACAGCACACACAGTACACACAGTACCCACACACAGTACACACACACAGTACATACACAGCACACACAGTATACACACAGTACACAGAGTACACACACAGCACACAGTACACACAAAGTACACACACAGTACACACAGTACCCACACACAGTACACACACAGCACACACAGTATACACACAGTACACACAGTATACACACAGTATACACACAGTACACACACAGCACACACACAGTACACACACAGTACTCACACACAGTACACACACACACAGTACACACACACAGTACACACACACAATACACACACAGTACATACACAGCACACACAGTACAAACACAGTACACACAGTACACACAGTACCCACACACAGTGCACACAGCATACACACAGTACACACACAATACACACAGAGTACCCACACACAGTACACACACAGCACACACAGTATACACACAGTACACACACAGTAAAAACAGTACACACACAGTACACAGTACACACACAGCACACACAGTACACACAGTACACACACACAGTACACACACAGTACACACAGTACCCACACACAGTACACACAGCATACACACAGTACACACAGAGCACACACAGTACACACACAGTACATAGTACACACACAGCACACACAGTACACACAGTACACACACAGCACACAGTACACACACAGTACACACACAGTACACACAGTAGACACAGTACACACAGTACTCACACACAGTACACACAGCATACACACAGTACACACACAGCACACGCACAGTACACACACACAGTACACACACAGCACACAGTACACACATTACACACACAGTACACACACAGTACACACACAGCACACAGTACACACACAGTACACACAGTACACACACACACAGAGTACACGCACAGTACACACACACAGTACACACACAGTACACACACAGTACACACAGAACCCACACACAGTACACACACACAGTACACAGAGTACACACACACAGTACACACACAGTACCCACACACAGTACACACAGCATACACACAGTATATACACAGCACACAGTACACACACAGTACACACACAGTACACACAGTACCCACACACAGTACACACAGCATACACACAGTACACACACAGCACACACAGTATACACAGTACCCACACACAGTACACACACACAGTACACACACAGCACACACAGTATACACACAGTACACAGAGTACACACACAGCACACAGTACACACAGTACACACACAGTACACACAGTACACACACAGCACACACAGTATACACACAGTACACACAGTATACACACAGTACACACAGTACACACACAGCACACAGTACACACAGTATACACACAGTACACACAGTACACACACAGTACTCACACACAGTACACACACACACACAGTACCCACACACAGTACACACACACACAGTACCCACACACACAGTATACACACAGTACACACACACACACAGTATACACACAGTACACACACACAGTACACACACACAGTACACACACAGCACACAGTACACACACAGTACACACACACAGTACACACAGTACACACACAGTATACACACAGTACACACACAGTACACACAGTACCCACACACAGTACCCACACAGTACACACAGTACCCACACACAGTGCACACACAGTACACACACAGTACACACAGCACACACAGTACACACAGTACACACACACACAGTACACACAGTAACCACACACAGTACACACACAGTACACACACACAGTACACACACAGTACCCACACACAGTACACACACAGTACACACACACAGTATACACAGTACACAGAGTACACACACAGCACACAGTACACACACAGTACACACAGTACACACACAGTACACACAGTAACCACACACAGTACACACACAATACCCACACACAGTATACACACACAGTACACACATAGCACACACAGTATACACACAGCATACAGTACACACAGTATACACACAGCACACAGTACACACACAGCACATAGTACAAACACAGTACACACACAGTACACAGCACACAGTACACACACAGTACAAACACAGTACACATAGTACACACACACACAGTACACACACACAGTACACACACAGTACACACACACAGTACACACGCACACACAGTACCCACACACAGTACACACACAGTACACACACACAGTACACACAGTACACACACAGTACACACACACAGTACACACAGCACACACATAGCACACACACAGCACACACAGTACACACAGTACACACACACAGTACACACACAGTACACACACAGTACACACACACACATACACAGTACACACACAGTACACACAGTACACCCACACAGTACACACACACAGTACACACACAGTATACACACAGCACACACACAGTACACACAGTACACACACACACAGTGCACACAGTACACACAGTACACACAGTACACACACACAGTACACACACACAGTATACACACAGCACACACACAGTACACACAGTACACACACACAGTGCACACAGTACACACAGTACAAACACACAGTACACACACACAGTATACACACAGTACACACACACAGTACACACAGTACACACACACAGTGCACACAGTACACACACACAATACACACAGTACACACACACAGTACACACACAGTACACACATAGTACACACACAGCACACAGTACACAGACAGTACACACACAGTACTCACACACAGTACACACACAGTACACACACATCACACACAGTACCCACACACAGTACACACACACAGTACACACACAGTACACACAGTATACACACAGCATACAGTACACACAGTATACACACAGCACACAGTACACACACAGCACATAGTACAAACACAGTACACACAGTACACAGCATACAGTACACACACAGTACAAACACAGTACACATAGTACACACACACACACAGTACACACACACAGTACACACACAGTACACACACACAGTACACACGCACACACAGTACCCACACACAGTACACACACAGTACACACACACAGTACACACAGTACACACACAGTACACACACACAGTACACACAGCACACACATAGCACACACACAGCACACACAGTACACACAGTACACACACACAGTACACACACAGTACACACACACAGTACACACACAGTACACACACACACATACACAGTACACACACAGTACACACAGTACACCCACACAGTACACACACACAGTACACACACAGTATACACACAGCACACACACAGTACACACAGTACACACACACAGTGCACACAGTACACACAGTACACACAGTACACACACACAGTACACACACACAGTATACACACAGCACACACACAGTACACACAGTACACACACACAGTGCACACAGTACACACAGTACAAACACACAGTACACACACACAGTATACACACAGTACACACACACAGTACACACAGTACACACACACAGTGCACACAGTACACACACACAGTACACACAGTACACACACACAGTACACACACAGTACACACATAGTACACACACAGCACACAGTACACAGACAGTACACACACAGTACTCACACACAGTACACACACAGTACACACACACAGTACACACACAGTACACACACAGTACACACACACACAGTGCACACAGCACACACACAGCACACACAGTACACACAGTACACACACACAGTACACACACACACAGTACACACACACAGTACACACACACACAGTACACACACACAGTACACACACACACAGTACACACACAGTACACACACACAGTACACACACACAGTACACACACAGTACACACACACAGTACACACACAGTACACACACACAGTACACACACACACACAGTACACACACAGTACACACACACACACAGTACACACACACAGTACACACACACAGTACACACAGTACACACACACAGTACACACACACAGTACACACACACACAGTACACACACAGTACACACACACACAGTGCACACACAGTACACACACACAGTACACACACAGTACACACACACAGTACACACACACACAGTACACACACACAGTACACACACAGTACACACACACAGTACACACACACACAGTACACACACACACAGTACACACACAGTACACACACACAGTACACACACACAGTACACATACACACAGTACACACACACAGTACACACACACACAGTACACACACACAGTACACACACACACAGTACACACACACAGTACACACACACAGTACACACACAGTACACACACACACAGTACACACACACACAGTACACACACACACAGTACACACACACAGTACACACACACACAGTACACACACACAGTACACACACACACAGTACACACACAGTACACACACACAGTACACACACACACAGTACACACACACACAGTACACACACACAGTATACACACACACACAGTACACACACACAGTACACACACACACACAGTACACACACACAGTACACACACACAATGCACATCGCGTCATGCAGCACCGAGGGCGATCGCCCGTGCTGACAAGCTGAAGACTTTATAATGTTGTTGTTGTAAATCATTATTACAATGCTGCTCATTTATACGTCAATTCACGAGACGCCTTGTCAAGTCTAAAGAAGATGTTTTACTTTTCCAGGGAGTTTTTGTAGCTGAGAAAGTTTGGTCAATTCCATGAATTGGTCATCCTATTCCTGCAAAAAGCAATTGCACTCTGAGACCTTCAGTTTCACTATGGGCACAATACATCATCATTATTATTATTATCATTATTAATTGTGGTATCTCTGTTACTTCTCTATTTGACATTCAAACATTTTTTTTTAACTACGATGGCGATGTGTTCAGAAGCTAAATGCCAAAGTCGATGTGTGCTCCTGCTGGCCACGACGAGGGGGCTTCAGAAGAGAGAGAGAGACAGCTCGTTGTCGTTCCGATCTTCCTCCTCCTCCTCCCGCTGAAGCCTTTGCAGAACCACCGTGGGTTTACTGCACGAGTCCCAATGTTTGTCTGAGTCGCGTGGCCACAATCGCACTCCCGTGGCTCGTCTTAAAGCCTCCGCTCGTAGAGGAGGTGTCCCGTCGACCATTCTGCACGCGGGCGACGGTTCCAACACCGGCGGCTTCAAGGAATGTCAAAAGCCACGAGGTGCGACGTGCTGGTCGCGAACTCGGAGTTACTTAATCTCACGTCGGCGCCCATCCACCCTCTCGTCCTCCGGCGCTATTCCGTGCCTGGGTGAGATGCTAGGGAGGGCGGTGGCAGTGCAGGTGAGAGGCAGAGGCCCTGCTCATTTGTCTCGGATACAAACACTGGCACCGTCATTCAGGTATAATGGACGTTGGTGAACTTGAATACAGACACGATCTAAATTTCGATTTAAAGCTTTCGTGACTGCAAGGATTCATCTTTGGTTCTTTCGGTAAAGTCACGTGGAATGAGAATGAAATAATAAATTAATAAAATAACACAATAAAATTCTCACGACGTTTCGGCCACTTGTGTTGTGGCCGAAACGTCGTGAGAATTTTATTGTGTTATTTTATTTTATTATTTTATTCTCATTCTACGTAACTTTACCGAAAGAACCAAAGAAGACACGATCTATTTTACACGATTCGTAGCTTTGGGCCCCGCATTGTAACCGAGTCAATCCAACGGGGAGCCCAGCTTGTCCTACGGAAGACTCGTACCGATGATGCAAGGCCCATCACAGATGCACAACGCGATCGTTGCATGAATTCCACTCACCCAAGCTGACACGAGTACGCGACGGTGGTGTTGTTTACCCAGCTCCAGCTCCCGTGCACGATGTCTGCCGGTTTGTGGCATGCGATGCTCGCAACTGTCGATAAGAGCACGAGGAACGGGAACCCGTGGACCCTTCTTAGTTCTGAAGCCGAACGACATTTGGGTAAACATTTGTCCTTTCCACATATATATAGAGAAAAAAAAAAGTCCAACCAGTGGATAGAGAGAGCGTAACTGGGGACCGTACGGTGTGCGTGCTGTGCGTGCGATTCTTTTTTTTTTCTCCCACTGCCCCACATTCGCACCTACTGTGCTGAGAGGCGCGCCGGTTGCCACCAGCGCGCACCACGCCACGATGCTCCTCACGGCGCGTGCCGACATCCTTCCTAGGGAGACGCACCAGCGGACGCGCGACGCTTCAGGACGCTTATCAAGACCGTGTAGCACTTCGCCGAGATGCACAAACCGCGCGTCGCGTCTCGTTTTCTTAATCTTAAACCGCGCTTATTCAAGATTTGAAGTTTTCGTGATTGCAAAGATCCATGTCCTTTGGTTCTTTCGGTAAAGTCACGCAGATGAAGAATTTAAAAAAACAATGGTGAAAATAATAAAATGAAAATAACTAAAGTCAATCAAATTCAATCACGACGTTTCGGGCGCTGCACGAGTGGATGCTTGTGTTGCGCCCGAAACGTCGTGATTTAATTGAGTTATTTTCATGTTTTTTTTTCATCTACGTGACTTTACCGAAAGAACCAAAGAGCATTAAACCGCGTTTGCTCTCCGTTTGTTTGCATGATTTATCCTGCGAGTTACCGTTTTGGGTGCGTTTGGCTCCTGTACTCCGCTTTCTTTACTGTGGCGGTGGCGCTCGCCCGCGACGCTGCGCTCTGGGCGCTAGGGTTGGTGGATCACACAAGAGAGTTGTGAAATTCCCGCACCTGCAACCGGGCGGATAGCGCGAGGTGGCCCCGGGGGGTTGGCAGCACGGGCAAGCGTGCTCGCGATTTCGAAGGTTGCGAGTTCAAACCCTGGTCGAGGGTTGGAACTTAGCCCCATCATCCCTCTGCGGCGGATAAAATGTCGAATTTCCACCACCTGCTGAGGATGGCGCAGCGGAGGTGAGCACCACTTTGATGCGCATTTGAACAGCGACACCTTGACACGGCCCGTGGGCCCTCCTGCAAGGAGCGACATGGGCCCCGTATCCAATATCCACCCCGCCCGTAATAGCCGGCGCCTGAGCCCCTACGAACGATTGGGCCTTGGATAGCCACCGGGCGCCTGATTGCAGCAACAACTGCACTCGTTTAATCACGGGCACGCCACAACAACAGAAGAATGTCACCGTCGTACGCTCTATGTGCAAGTTTAAAAATGAAGGGTGAAGCCAGAAGTACGATCAGCATGCGACAACTGAGGATGCAGTTTACATTCCGGTCAACCGCAGCGCAACGCCAACTCTTGATAGATCGATAAATAAAGTTGCCTCCCTCTCGTTCCACTGTGAGCCACTGTGCGAGATGTTTTCATTACCCTGCAGAAGTCAAAATGTGTTTCTCCCCACCCCGGCTGGAATCACAGTGGCAGCAGACGAGCAACGTGGTATGGATCCCGATGGAGGGAAAACCGACTGTGAGGGTTACTAATAAAAAAAAATAGAAGCACGTTAATCGTTAGCTAAGGCCCTCTGTAAATCCATTGCTGGACGAAGGCCTCACCACGCTGTGGCGGCCACGAGGGTTTGATAGACCGTACTTGGGACCACACCGCTGAGTGCACGTTGCTCACTACACGACGCCTTGCGTGGCTGCGATGCCGTTACACGGGAAGCACGTGAATGAAAGCACACGGGAGTAGTCGACTCTTACCAGCGCGTTCACCAGTCTGCGGCGGTGCCCTGCGTTTGCCAGACTCTTTAACAACTGTTTCAGATCTTTACACTCCCTCCCACATACCCCCCCACCCCTCCCCACCCCCGATGGCATTATCTCGATCAAACAAACGAACGAGCAGCGATAACGATTCTCTCGGTGGTTTCCCAGAAGGCAGGCAGCTTGATAGCAAATGACAGTAAAATACACACTGTGCCTCGTCTGCTCTGCAATGGAAATATGATGGCGTGAATGCATCGGGTTTGTCAAAAAATGTAACGGGACAAAAACAATACTTGCCGGTGATATTCTGTATGCGTGGTAGCGGTCATTCTTTGGTTCTATTCGGTAAAGTCACGTAGGTAAATAATAAAACAACAATAATCACGAGCCTGTCTGGAGGACAGCGCTGTCCTCCAGACAGGCTCGTCCCTTCACCTGATGAAGGTCGCTTGTGTTGTGGCCGAAACGTCGTGATTATTGTTGTTTTGTTATTTACCTACGTGACTTTACCGAATAGAACCAAAGAGTATGGATCCTTGCAGTCACGAAAGCTTTAAATCTAGAAGCGGTCATTCTGTTGCAGTACGCGAGTTCTGCGTTTCGGATTGGGATTGTTTTAATATTCGGGGTGACCAAAAGGCCCCTTCACATCATTGCATCGTGTCGGGAAGGCATCTGGGGCAGGATGAGGATGCGTAATGGCGGATTTATTTCTCGGCTGGTGAGGTAGAATCCGCGTAAGGAATTTGAATTGAGAAGGCGAAGTGGGGTGGACCTAATGTCGCATTGCAGATGTTCCGTCGTGGTGCATGGAATCGTTTCACTCCACGGTGTTTCCGGGCTGGGGCTCACAGGTTGGTTCCACCCAATCAGAAGGTTGTACAGGGACTCCTCTACTTACGAGCATTCGACTTACTAACTTTCAGAGATGCGAACAAACCTTTCTGTATGTCTTGTAGGTGCCACGTGAAGAACCAGTGGCATCTGCAGAACGTTAAGAACCGGTGGCATCTACATCTGCAGAATGTGAAAGAATCAGTGACATCTACATCTGCAGAACGTGAAGAACCGGTGGCATCTCCATCTACAGAACGTGAAGAACTGGTGGCATCTACATCTACAGAACGTGCAGAACCAGTGGCATCTACATCTGCAGAACATGAAGTACCAGTGGCATCTACATCTGCAGAACGTGAAGAACCAGTGGCATCTCCATCTACAGAACGTGAAGAACCAGTGGCATCTACATCCACAGGAGATAATGCAACTTTTAAAGCCACTCCCCGTGTTTAGTGTGGATGCCCTACAACATGTTTGGAATCTACAGAAGTAAAATTGGACTTACGAACAAACCGACTTACGAACAGACCTCTGGGACTTAACTCGTTCGTAAGTAGAGGAGTCCCTGTATTGCTAAAGCAGTCCCTTGGTATAATTTATACCATAAACAAGGTTTGCAGTGAGCTCAGGCTCGGGTCGGGTATGATTGACAAGGCTATGCAGTATTTGCCTCGCTGAGGTCAGAGTGCTCAAAATCCCCCCAAAGCAAACAAGTCCCTTATCAGGAAAGTTCTGTTTCAAATTCCATGCGCGTTTCAGTAAGTTGACTTGCACTTACTAAATCCCCCTTCAAATACTTTATCTCACGATAATAATAATAATAACATCGATATTCCTCCATCCCGTGACAAAATCTTTGCAATCTCCAAAAAAAAAACCACACAAATCGCAACATTGTCGGCATCGCTGCCGATGACCGAAACGCAAACGGGAGTCTGTCCCATGCGGTCGGATCTCAGCAGCCACAGGGGGACGGCGTCTGAGTGGGTGACCGCCAGGGGGCTTGCCACGCGCTGCAGCTGCTGTGGCTGCGAGGTGAACACGTGACACGACAATGGCCGAGTGTGATGTCAGTGGGCGGTCCCGACAGCTTACCGTTTGCCACGTGCCAAACAATCCTCAATGGAATCAAACCGAATATCTAAAGAGAGGGCTTTTTTGGGGGGGGGGGGGGTCGGGGGGGGGGGGGTTCATCGCGTAAATATAAATGGAGTGACTCATGCTGCCAGCTTTGGCTGCAAAGTTTGGTCGTACATGTTATGGATATCGTTTATTGTTAAATTTGAATCACAGTTCCTATGGTCACTGTTGAATTGTTTTTATAGCTTTATTTTGGTGATTTTGAAAACGTACGGTTAAGCAATGTTTGTTGAAGTACGGAGTTAGCCTGATAACTTTATCTAAATTGTCTTATGGTTGTTATTGCTCGACGTGCATCCCATTGCAATTTTTGCATACAGCGTTGATATACGGTGCTTTTTTTCTGGAAGATTTTACTGGTTTTCCTGTATGTTTCTGTTGCGCGTCGGCACTTTAAGATGTTTCTTTGTTCATGTTTTGTTTGTTGCGGTTGCACCCGAGTCAAGAGCCTCATGGCTAACAGGACTATACCTAATAAATGAAACTGAAATCTCCATTCACCACCCAAGACAGTCAATTAGTAAGGTTTGTCACGTAAACAAAGCGTGGAAATTCGTTACGAATACAGCACACCGGTGTGTTGGAGAGTGAACCGACTACAACATTTACAATTCGAGTGTCATGACGTTTTGCCGGTAATTACAACAACCAGCATCATCAGGCGATAGCCGGAGTTGTGGAGAAATCCTCCTGTTGTTTCGGTCTTAACATCGGCATTTGCAGAATCACAATCGTTATGTTATCCTGGAGGAATCCGATGAGCTATGAAGCTATTTTTTCATAGATGTCCAGTAGGCCTGGCAAAAGGTCTGAACTACGCAATTACTCCCCAAACCGTTGCGGAATGGCGATGTGAAAACCTGTACCGTGTACGAATGTTGTGATGGCTTGACATGAAGTTGATTAAAAAAAATTATCAGCTGAAGTGAAATACCTAAAACCGAATATTATTACAGCCTCAGGGGCTCGTGCATTGCATCAACTTAAGACAAAATAAATAGTTGTAGCTGTTGGTAATGGTATAGCTACCGAGTTGATGCCACAAGAGGAATATTCAATACAATTACAGATTTACTGAAATACACAGCACGTAATAAATAAATTTTGCTTAGGTTTGTTGAATTCTCGTCTCTCATCTTCTTGTTGTATTTACCTCCGTGCAGTTTAACGCTCTCTATGTGTTGCGTTGATGTCGCCCTATGTGCTCCCTCGCTATTTGTTTTTTACACCTGATGAAGATCGCTTGTGTTGCGGTCGAAACGTCGTGATTGATTTGTTTTAATATAATTTAGTGGTATTTCTACATAGGTGACTTTACCGAAAAAAACAATGAGTACACAGCACCTGTATGAAATATCTAGAAGAGAAATCCACAACAACAATAATAATATAATAAGCACACAGTTCATCAATGTTCCGTGGTACAATTAAACCCTAAAGGTTTAATCTAAAAATGACGTACTGGTGAGAGTGCTTGTGCCAGGCTAGGTGCACTTTGAGACTATCACGTGAAGGCTTGCTGCTGGCAGGAGGTTACGGGACAGACCTAGGTGGCGCCACGGGTTGACTGACTGAGATGACTTACAAGATGCACTACCTCTACGGCTGTGCCAACTTGCTTCGTTTTAGCCGCCCGGCGTTGTTGTGAGCGTCGCTCCTCCGTTGTTGCTCGAGGGCGACTGCCTCCAACTCCTCAGCAGCAGCATCCTTCACGAGCCTCCTCCACAGAGGCCGATCTTGACACCGCTGGTACTCACACACATGCAAACACGTACCAAGACAAATATCCCCCGTATAGCCTCGAGCAGACCGTCGAGGCAAGTGCCGATAGCGAGCAGCACCTATTAAGGCTGGCACAGCACACGAGGGGGTGGGTGGTCAGCATCACCTTCCAGCCGCCTTTGTCTCCCTAGTGGCGATGTTTTACACACCGCACCAGGTACTCATTAAAGGTTGAGCTAACTTAGTGGAGGCCCCTGGCCTCGCGGTCGTGAACGGGAATCGATCTCGGGTCACCGGGTTCATAGCGCAGTGCGCTAACCAATGCGCCACCACTCCCCATACAACACGTAAACACAGGGAGAAAGACAACGATCCCCGCATCGCCTTAAAAGACTGTTGGGGCAAGTTCGACCGGGGTTCCTCGCGCAGTGCACTAAGCGCTACACCACCGCTCCCCGGCACACACACACAGACAAAGATAAAAGACAAAGATCCCCCGTAAAGCCTTAAAAGACTGTAGGGGCATGTGCTGTTAGCGAGCACCTATAAAGGCCGGCACGGCACACGAAGGGGGTGGGTGGCTAGCACCACGCCCGACTGCCTTTGTCTCCCCAGTGGCGATGTTTACACACCGCACCAGGTACTCATTTCTGGCTGAGTCGACCTAGGGGAGGCCCACGACCGGTTCAGATAATCGTCACCGGTGTTGGCCGTGAGCGGGAATCGAACCCGGTTGGGCCGGGTTCCTTGCGCAGCGTAGCGCTAACCGCTATACCACCGCTCCCCCACACACACACACAGACAGACACACACACACAGACACACACAAACACACACAGAGACACACACACAGACAGACACACACACACAGATACACAGACAGACACACACACAGACACACACAGACACACACACACAGACAACAACAACAACCGCCATTCGCCACTAGGTGGCGGTGACGTCACCACGACGCTTGTGCCAGGCTATGTGCACCCTGAGGCCACGTGAAGTGTCGAACGCCCGCTGGCAGGAGGTCACGGGGCAGACTCCGTTGTTGTTGGAGGGCAACTACCTCCAACTGCCCAGTAGCGTCCTTCACGAGCCTCCTCCACAGAGGCCGATCTTGACACCGCTGGTACCAGTCATTGGCAAGTCCACTCAGCTCAACGTCCTCCTGTACCACATCACTCCATCTCTTCTCTAGCCCGTGCCGTCCCCATTTAGACCCTTCAATCCGGCCGAACAAAAGCTGTTTCGGCATGCGGTGGCTGGGCATGCGAGCTACATGACCCAGGAATCGCAGCCTTGCCCGCCGGAGGAGCTCACC